TAAACTTGTTTGTGTATTCTAAAACACTATGGCTATCCTGGTGGTGATGCAATATTTGCAGCCATGGAAGCAAACGCAAAAGAACTATTTATGGAATGAATATTTTCCATGAAATTCTTACTGTCAGAATCTTCGTTTGTCATTAATCTTTTTAAATATGCCGGGTAATCTGGAAAATGTATATCATTTGGACAGACTTTCCCTTTGCTACAACACCGGGTAAATTTCCCATCAGATGGTTTTTCATCAGAGAAATTTAGTGATAGGCAAAATTCACATCTAACAATCATTCCACCGCAACTATGGTCGAGAATTGCATCCTCATGTACTCCATTTTTGCTGAGAGGGCGCCGCATTCTGTCGCAGGCGCCACCTTCTTTCAAGATCAGACGCACGTTGCTCTTCAGATATTTTCTGTCGATAATGCCGGCATCTTTCAGTTGCAGAACTACGTTGTATCAACAGTTGTTCTTTAGACATAGTCCCACCTCTCTATTGTCACAATCTGAGATGGAGGTGAATGAGAGTCCAGGCTGTCAGTCCACTGAGAGCTGTCTGACCAACGGCTGATTCTGGCTGATTCTGTGGGGGTGGGACTTCCTCCTCCCTGCTGTCAGTTTCCACAGCTGTGATGAGGAAGCTGGGGTGACAGAGGGAGCCACGCCCTCCAAGCCGCCCTCTCTCTCGCCCTGCTCTATGTCCAGTGGCCTCCTGCTCTGCCAAGTCCTCCAAACCCCCTGTTCTCCGCCCACTCTCCTGCTCTGCTCTCTGCTGGCGAAGGTCCTGGGAGCCCGTGGGCGTGGCTAGGCGCGGCCAGCCTCACCTCTAGGGGCCGGCAATGGTCCTGGGAGCCTGCGGCTGCTGTCACTTCCCCGGGGCGCTTGACACATGTGTATGCAAATTAACCCGCCATCTTTGTCAGGTTAATTTGCATACTCCTGATTGGTTGGTGAGTGTAGTGGAGGGATGGTTAATTTACATGTTTCTCTTATTATATAGGAAGTTGAAATAATTTTATAATAAACATTCATCTATTCACCTGCTAGATATACAGGGTGTCCCAAAACAATGTATATACACTTTAATAGCTGATGGCTCAATTTTGTTAATGAAATGTATTTTAATGAACACTGCCTTTATAATTATTCTCAAAGTGTGTGTATACATTTTTTGAGACACCCTAGTTTTGTTTTATTACATATTTATCTATTTATCCTTCCTTCTATCCATGCAACAATCTTCCTATTATAGATCTGTTATTGATGTGTAGTTCAAAATAATTTAGAGACAACAATATATCTAACCCTTACATTCCCATGCATAATTTGTGAGTTTAATATTTTTTACAGTTTTTTTAAATTTTGAGGTAAAATTTAAATATAGCTGAATGCATGTCTTATGGGTACCAACCAACAAATTTTGATAAATGCATTAGTGTAACCCAAATTTTTTAAAAGATAAAGATCATTACCGTTACCCAGAAATTTTTCTCATACCTCTTCTCAAACAATTCCAACCCGCACTCCTGAGGCAAGTACTGTTCTGTGTTTTTTATAACTAGTTTTTCTTGTTTTATTACTTCATATAAATGGAATAATATAGTGTGAGTGTGTGTGTGTGTGTGTGTGTATGTGTGTGTGTAAGAGAGAGAGAGGGGGAGAGAGAGAGAGAGAGAGAGAGAGAGAGAGAGAGAGAGAGAGAGAGAGAGAGAGAGAGAATATTTTTAGATCTATCAGCATAATTTCATTGAGTTCAGAGAACATGTTCTATATGATGCCATACTATTGCTTTGTCCCCTATTATATGGCAGTTTTCATAAATATTGTTAATGGTTAGTTTCTTCTTGTTGGTTTTATGTTTCTGCATCTGTCCTTTCAGTTAACCTTATTGGTCATTGTACCGTGCCAGCACAGCCAAGGGTTTGGTTGAGCCTGAGGGGGGACTGCAAAGGATGTAGAAAAGACAGACAACGAGAATAAGTGGGTCTACTAGGTGGATCTTCCTGTGCCTGGCTGAGGCCACAGAGAGATCCAGACAGCAAGCTGAGCCTTTATTTTATAGCCAGAGGTAAGCGAGGTAGTGGTCACCATAGTTATAATGTTCTTGTGAATTTTACTTGTTTTGGCAGCACTTGCTGCATCTCCTTCAGCCCATTAGCTATCCAGAAAGATCTAGGGAGCTTCATAAGGTCAAGCCTAATTATGCTAAGAGGGCTGTGCCCTCTAAGCTGGAACTTGTTTGTGACTTTGCCAACAGGTCAGTCCAAGGCTTAACCCTATAGCCACTCCCTACAAAGTCATGTTGTTTGTTTCTTAATTCTTTTAAAAATCAGTTGGTTCATATGTATCCTGTTCTTCATATTTGAATGTTATCTTAAAATTTTAATATAACAAAATTAATTCTTTGTGGTATACAGCTTTATGAGTTTTGACACAAGCATATGGTTGGGTCTGTATTCACAATGAAGATGCAGTTCCATTAACTTAAAATCTATATAATAAAAGCCTGAGTGACCGTTACGGCGAAATGACCAGAACGAGCAGTCTCTATGATGTGCACTGACCACCTGGGGGCAGACACTCAGTGCAGAAGCTGCCCCCAGTGGTCACTGCACTCCCACAGGGCGAGCACCGTTCAACCAGAAGCCAGGCTCACGACTGGCGAGCGTAGCAGCAGTGGCAGGAGCCTCTCCTGCCTCTGTGACAGCACTAAGGAGCAGCGAGCCGAGCAGTAAGGAGCAGTGAGCAGGCAGGCGGCAAGGAGCGAGGGGTCCCAGACTGCGAGAGGGCGCAGGCTGGGCTGAGGGACTTCCCTCTCCTCTGTGCACGAATTTTATGCACCGGGCCTCTAGTACCCTTAAATACCCTATTGTTTGCCAGCCCTTCCTCCCACGCCTTACCACTGGAAATTGCTGATTTGTTTTCAATCCCTATAGTTTTGCCTTTTTCTAAATGTAATGTAAATGTAATACAGTTTGTAGCCTTTTGAGTGATTTATTTTACTTAGAAAAATGCATTGAGATTCATCCATATTTTTGCATGTATTAATAGTTGTGCCTTTTTGTTGCTGAGTAGTATTTCATTGTATGAATGTACCATGGCTTGTTTTTTCAAAGACATTTGGGTTGTTTCCAGTTTTTGGCAATCGGGAATGAAACTGCAATAACCATTGGTATTCCTAAGCTTTTATTTCTCTTGGGCAATACATAAGAGCGGAATTGCTAGGTTTTATGTAAATTTAGTTTTAACTTTATAAGATACTAGAGGCCTGATGCATGAAATTTGTGCAAGCATAGGCCCTCGGGACCTGGTTGCCCCACCACCTGCCCACTGGTCATTCCGGAAGGTTTTTCTGGAAGATTGTTTCACCATCCGATCTAATTAGCATATGGGCTCTTTATTATATAGGATAGGTTTTAAACTATAGAGTCTACTTCTTTAATTCTGTTTAGGTTACAAATTTTCTTCTTGAGTGAGCTTTGATAATTTTTGTCTTTGAAAGAATTTAGTCATCTCATCTGTTGAATTTACAGGCATGAAATTCCCCAAATCCCCTTGTTTTCATCTCTTTGTTGTTGTTAATCCTCACTTGAGGGTAGCTTTCCATTGCTTTTCAGATAGAGTAGAAGGGAGGGAGGGATGGGAGGAGGGAGGGGTTGAGGGAGAGAGAGAGAGATCAATATTTCAGAGAACTGGTTGCCTCCTGCATGTGCCTCGAAAGGGGTGGGGAGGAGAAGCAAACCAGCAATCCAGGTGAGTGTCATTGACTGGGAATCAAACCCCTGACATTTGGTGGGTGGGCCAGTGCTCCTAACTCTGAGTCATACCAGCAGGGTCCCTGGTTTTCCTTTGTAATAATCTGTAGAATCCGTGGTAAAGTTAATATTTGAAATTTGTCACTTCTTTTTTTTCCTGTTCACTTTGGCTGGAGGTTAATCAGTTTTACAGATCTTCTCAAAGAACTAAGCTTTGGTTTCATTGATTTTTGGCTATTGATTTTGTTTTCTGTTTTGTTGACTTCCATTCTGATTTTTATTTCCTTTTTTTTTTTTTTTTTTTTTGCTTTAGGTTTAACATAATATAGAAATTTTTTTTTCTCTCTCTCTGGAAGTAAATTGACAGATTTTGGAACTCTGGACTCAATCTACATTGTGTGTGTGTGTGTGTGTGTGTGTGTGTGTGTGTGTGTGTGTTTGGTTTTTAGGTGAGAAGATAGGACTTTGCTAATAAGATTTCAGAGAATGTGACTGATTTTCATTAGAAGGACACAAGATTTTTTTTCTATTTTGAATATTGATTTTTATGCCTGTTCATTTGACATCTGTTTCTAATTATAAATGAAGTATATCTATAAATTATGAAAGTACTTCAAATTCCCATGACTAGCCCTGTGAAATTTACCACACATAGAGCTATCAGAGTTAAATATGTGATGTCCTTTTAAATGAGGCAAAATATTGTGAGAAATAAAATTCTGTTCCTGTCTCTAACCTTAGCAATTATTTAACCTAAGGACTATACAGTGTTTACTTGAACTCAGTATATAAAACATTTAAATCCTGAGTTCTTCCCAAATGAATAACCATTAATTGAGATGCAAGGTAGTTGTGGATTTCTTTTTATGTGGTGTGTTTTGATATACAAGATTAAGAAATTTCTGTTGTGGATGGAGTGAAATTTGTATTACTCTTTTAGATTACCTTCCAAAGCTGAATTAAAATTAAGGAAATAAATTGCTCTACTGTTTGAGCATTTTACTTAAATAGTAAAGCAGATTTGATTTCCATTGTATATAATGATTCTAGTTTTTAGAAATGAAATTTGCTTGAAAATCAGTTTTTCTTTCTAAATGCTTATCTTTTTATATATTCTTGAATTAGAAATATAGGTGTTATTAGAAATTGGAGTATTGCTAGAGGGATGTGATAATTACAGTACTACATGAAAATTATCTTCTTTATTTACTTTTCTAATTGTTTAATGTTACATTTTATCTTTTAGATCCTATTTGACCAAACTCAGAGATCAATTAAGGCACAGCTTCAGAACTTTGTTAAAGAGTAAGTCAATTGCAGTTAAGGAAAAAGTAAAGCATTTAGTTAATTATTAGATATAGAAGTTGGTGTCTTTGGAGAGAAATATGGAAGAAATAATGAATTACAAAAATATTAGAGCTTTTTTTTGTTTTGCTTTGTGAAATGTATATTGCACTTTTTCCAGAAGTATTTTATATAGTCAGACTTAATGCCTTATAGTGAATCATTTATGCTGTGAAAGATGTGTTCAAGATACATAGCAAGAATTGTTATTAATTAAAGAAATAAATGTAAATAATCCAATGACCTTTCAAAATCAAAGCAAACCTCAAGAGTAGTTGAAATATTATCAGTTATCGTAGTTGATATTAAATTTTGCATTCTCTCAATATGGTATTTTCTTTGAAGAGAAGTTAATATATGGGAATGAGTAATGAAAGTGCATGCTTTTTGCTACATATGAGCCTTTTGTGTCACATTCATTACATTTCTAAAAAATATCCAACTCTTTTGGTTTTCTTTTTTCACACTAATAATTCAGATTCCTCTTTTAATTCCTGACTGAAAATTATATTCAATTACAGATAAAGTTGATGATAATACAGTATTCAGGATAAATTATAGATGTTATGAGCTGTAAATAGTGGCAGATCACAGAAATGTAAGCATTGCCATTTTAGTAGGTTAGAATTGTTATAGTGGAAGTGATGTCTTGCAGATTCTTTATAAATTACTTCATAATAGGCTAATATTCAGAATGTCCTGATAGAATGTATACATGGCAGTTGATGGCTTCTTACAAGAGTTCTTTCTTAGGTAAACTTTATTATTATTATTTTTAAATTGTTTGTCTTCAAGTTATTTTGCCGAATTCCCGGATAGAAAAAGTAAAAGCAAAGTATTATTATATACTTACCTAAGATTATTAATGAAATCAAGGATTTCAGAGTTTCAGACTAATGAAATGGATACTGTTATCTTTTATGGGTACAAGAATTCTTTTAGAAAGCATTATAAATTTGTGTTTTAAGAATACATTCATGTCCTTTGGGCCAATGGTTCCCTTCTACAAGAAATGAATGTTGTTTCTTAAAGTGTGGTCTGAGACCACCCATAGCAGTAAAACTAAGGGTGTGTCTTTAACACCCACTCCCTCCTCCCCACAAACACAGATTTCTATGATTCATCACAAAGACTAATGAATTGTAATCTCTGGAAGAGGAGATGACATTTGCATGTTAAATTTGCATTTTTAACAAGTTCTCTGTGGTGATTTTTATGTATACTACTACTTAAAAATCATGTTTAAATAATGATACATGCCCCTGAATTTGTTTTTAGGGGGAAAAATTAACTTTGCCTTTTATGTTTCTGTAATGTTAATTTGATAATTTATTTTCACCTCAAATTCATAGATCTAAGTAAGGAAATGTTAGGTGACTATTTTGGGAATTATATATACAGTGGGGCCTTGACTTACGAGTTTAATTCGTTCCGTGACAGAGCTTGTAACTGAGATTACTCATATGTCAAATCAATTGTGAACGAGTGAGACACGTGATGCTGGGCTGATGTTGTGGCGTTCACTGTGACATTCGCTGTGCCAACTAGCGGTGGGGTATCTGAAGCTGGCTCGTAACCTGAATTTTAGCTCGCAACTCAAAGCAAAAAATTGGCCTAGAGACGGCTCGTATCTCGAAAAACTCGCTAGTCGGGACACTCGTAAGTCAAGGCCCCACTGTAATTGAAAACAATATATATTGTAGTCAGAATAACTATTGAGTGTTATTGCACAGTGAATCAAATAAGTAGAGGAACATAAAAATTAAATTCTAAGTGCTTTTGCTAAAATTTTTGATCAAGAAAATTTTATAAAAGTTTAACTTTTTATTTTTTAGAGATCTTAGAAAATTCAAAGATGCCAAGAAGCAATTTGAAAAAGTCAGTGAAGAGAAAGAAAATGCACTAGTAAAAAATGCTCAAGTACAGAGAAACAAACAGCACGAAGTTGAAGAAGCCACAAACATTCTGACAGCAACAAGAAAATGTTTTCGACACATAGCCCTTGACTACGTTCTTCAGGTATATTTATTAAAAAGTGCTTACGAGGTGGAGGGGGTCAACTGGGGATAAAAAGGGGACATCTGTAATACTTTCAACAGTAAAGATTAAGAAAAATGCTTAATGAACATGTCTTACTTTTGAGTGGTTGCACTGAAAATAATGTATTTTTTAGTTTAAAATTAAACCAAAATTTTGTGAAAAAAATTCACTTGTTTGTATATCTGTCTCTGTGTGGATATGTGTAACTCTGCTTGTGATTTCTTCCCCTTTAAGTTAACTTTATACTTTCCTCCATTTAAAATGTTGTAAAAGCATTTTTATTGCTATATTTTATTTTGTGGAGTTGCTGTGTTAATTTAATTAATATTTGATTGAGACATTTTTAGTGTTGCCATTTTTACTGGCAGTAGTGAAAATATAGTTTTCAATAATTTTAAGTGGTGATAACATCTTTGCATACAGATCTTCCTTGCCACATTTCTGATTATTTCTTTAGGGTAGATTCTAGAGCAGGGGTGGGCAAACTTTTTGACTCGAGGGCCACAATGGGTTCTTAAACTGGACCGGAGGGCCGGAACAAAAGCATGGATGGAGTGTTTGTGTGAACTAATATAAATTCAAAGTAAACATCATTACATAAAAGGGTTACGGTCTTTTTTTTTTTTTTTTTTTTTAGTTTTATTCATTTCAAACGGGCTGTAGTTTGCCCACGGCTGTTCTAGAGGTACTAAGGCTCACTGTATTGCCAAATGAAAAATATTTCTAGAAGTAGTATTCTCATGTTTTGTGTTAGGACTAGGTGCTGCTTTTTAAAACTAGAGATCAGTGTCTGGTAAGTTGCCTGGTGGTCTTCTGGTCCAAAGTATAATTGAAACCAATTTGAAGGTAAAGGTCTCTAAAGAAATTTGAGAGAAATGTAAATTGAAGGTACATATTATACATTATTTCACATGTACATTATGTGTCCCTATAGATCATGGAGTGTTGTAAAACAGCAGTGAGTCCCCAGAAATTGTTGACTTAATGATGATCACAGACTATTTCTTAAAGCAATACATAAATAACAGTATATAAGCTAGTGATTAAAAACTAATCAGATAACTTTGCAGAATAGTAGAAGGTGACTAAGATTTTTTTCTCTTAAGTTCCCGTTTAATGAGTGGAAAGTTAAATTTTAAAGGAGTGAAGTAAACTACCTTTATTAATGAAATGCTTCTAGAAGAGAGTAGTCTGTATGTTCTGTCTCCTGTTACGTACCTCCCATTCATACCACTTCCTGTGGTAGTATGAGTTCTCAGTCTTCCTACACCATTACACTAAAATGCTCATGCTAGTGTTATTCATTAGATACTTTTTAGTTTTTAGCCAACTTGACCATTATGTTTCACTGAAAATTTAGGCCATACTCTCCTTGAAATATACTTTAGTCTTGATTTATCTTTAACCATTTTTAGATCATCACCTTCTGTTTCTTTTCCATTTCCACCATGGGCTTCTCTCCTTTGCCCACCTTTTCACTCTCTTTTTCAGGTTTTATCTTTGGTTCTATTCTTTTCTGACTATAATTTCTCTGACAGTCTCATCATGCTCCCTTGCTTGAATTACCACCATTTAGAGATGACAGATTCTTTTTTTTTCTTTTTCCACATAAGTACCTCATTCTTTTTGTGCCCAAAGCTTAAATCTTCTTCCTAAACAGCTTCTTTTTGTTCTTTCCTAACTGAATAGCAACACCCTCTAAAATCATAGAAGTTCAGATTTGGAGAATTATATCAGATATTCCCCTCATCCTCAGCTACTATATCTAACAACCAAAATTGCCTTGAAAAGTTCTGTGTACCTCTTAAATCTGTTCTCTCACTCTTGCTGTAGCCCTCACACAAGTTCTTACTGTTTTTTTTTTTAATCTAGAGCAGCTGTGGGCAAACTACGGCCCGCGGGCCGGATCTGGCCCGTTTGAAATGAATAAAACTAAAAAAAAATACCCTTTAGTAATGATGTTTACTTTGAATTTATATTAGTTCACACAAACACTCCATCCATGCTTTTGTTCCGGCCCTCTGGTCCAGTTTAAGAACCCATTGTGGCCCTCAAGTCAAAAAGTTTGCCCACCCCTGATCTAGAGTATTAAGATGTTCCCATGCAGTTGATCTTTCTTGCATTGTTTTTACTACCCCCATTATTAATTCATTCTCTGTTCTGTGGTCAGACTAACTCAAACTTCTCCATGCAAAGTGAATTATTTTTGCCTCTGCCTTCTCTGTGCTGCACTAATATTGTCATACACATTGCTGTTGGAGCACTTAACCCATTTATTCTAATTATTTATTTATTTGTCTTTTCTACTCCTAGATTGTATCCTTTCCCTCTAGTGTGGTGGTTGGAAAATAGGTAGTACATGTTTTGTGAGAGAACGCATGGCTTAATTTTTTTTTTCTTAATCCTTACCCGAGGATATTTTTTTCCACTGATTTTTAGAGAAAGTGGAAGGGAGGGAGGGGGAGAAACAGCAATGTGAGAGAGACACATTAATTGGTTGCCTCCTGCACGTACACTGAGTGGGGCAGGGATTGAACCTGAAACACAGGTACATGCCCTTCACTGGGAATTGAACCCACGACATTTTGGGGTATGGGCGGTTGCTCTAAGCACTGATCAACATTGGCTAGGGCCAAAACGCTTGATTTTAAATTTAATTTGGGAAGGGGGATACAGCTAAAATACTCATTATTTTCAAACACATATAAATTTTCCATTTACTTTGGTGTCCATCCAATAGTTTTGTTAAGAGTTCCAACATCCCTTTAACTATTAGTTTGTTTGATTTTTCTGATGAGAACTGTTGTGTCATTATATGGCCAAACTGTTTTAGAGAATGTTAGGTAATAAATATCCAGATTTATAAAAGTTTTCATGATTTAGCTTCTCTGAATATTTGAATTTACTTTTTTTCCCCATTTGTTTTTTATTTGTATGTTTTTGTTTGTTTGTTTTTTGTTTTTAATCCTCACCTGTGGATATTTTTCCATTGATTTTTAAAGAAAGTAGAAAGGAGAGGGAGAGACAGAGAGAAACACTGATGTGAGAGAGACACATCAATTGGTTGCCTCTGGCATGCCCGGGACTGGGACCGGGACCAGGACCAGGAACCTGCATCCGAGGTACGTGCCTTTGACCAGAATCGAACCCAGGACCCTTCATTCTGCAGGTCACTCTATCCACTGAGCCAAACCAGCGAGGGCTTGAATTTACTTTTATTTCCCCAAGTAAATGTTGTTTTTCATTGACAGGGCAAAAAAAACCCACAAAAAAACAAAGGCACTTTTAACATTTTTCAGAGTTTGAATAATAGGTTATCTGTAGCATCTAATTTTACTTAGAATATTTGAAAGTTAATATTTTAGTTCTCAAAACTAAATAGGCCTTGAAAGAGATAAGCAGAAGAAACTAGGGCTTAGTTAAGCAAATATATTTGGGTATTTCTTGGTCTGTTTTTGTTTTCTGATCAGTGCTTTAAAATTATTTTATAAATGAACAGGCAGAATAATCAGTGAGAAGGACATATTAAAAAGGCAGGTATTCTGCAGTCTTTTGACAATATTAGTAAAAAGTGAATGATTCTTTTCAATGATTTTATTTTACTAAATTGATATATAATAACAGACAAAAATAAAATGTTTGTTTATGAATTTCTAGAGTTGGGAGACATACCACAAAATGCAAATTTCATAATTTACTGATCTTTTAGTAAGTTTAATCTAATTAAAATATTTATTTAAAATCTATTTAACAAATATTTATTGAGTACTTACTACATACCACTTGGAGAATACACCTGGAAATAAGGCAAGGCCTTCCTCTCACAGAACTACACTTTAGCTGGGGAAAAGACATACATAAGAAAATATAAGGGCCCTGGCTCAGTTGGTTGGGCGTCATCCTGTGTACCAAAAGGTTGCTGGTTGGATTCCTGGTCAGGGTACATTTCTGGTTTTCAGGCTTGATCCCCTGATGGGGGCGTGCAGGAGGCAGCTGAACAGTGTTCCACTCTCACATCAATGTTTCTTTTTCTTCCTCTCCTTTTTCTCTAAAAATTAATAAAAATATATTTTTAAAATTAAACAAAGAAGAATAAAATATAAGGTAGTTAATGATTGCTATCCTATATAATAAAAGGCTAATATGTAAATCGACCAGAGCGACCAGTTGCTATGATGCGCACTGACCACCAGGGGGCAGACACTCAGTGCAGGAGCTTCCCCATGATGGTCAGTGTGCTCTGTGGGAGCACTGCTCAGCCAGAAGCCAGGCTCAAGGCTGGAGAGTAGAGCGACAGTGGCAGGAGCCTCTCCTGCCTCCACAGCAGCATTAAAGATGTCCGACTGATGGGCTTAGGCCCACTCCCTGTGGACCTAAGCCCACAGTCAGACATCCCCCGAGGGCTCCTGGGCTGTGAGAGGACATAGGCCAGGCTGAGGGACACCCCCCCCCCCCCGAGTGCGCGAATTTTGTGCACCTGGCCTCTAGTGAATAAAATAAATAGGGTTGATATACTAGAGAGTGTGTATGGGCCTACTTTAGACCTTTGTAAAGAGATAGTATTTAAACTATCTTAACATGAATTTCGAACAGCCAGTATGCAGGCATTGAGGTGGGAGTAGTATTGGGTTGTGGTTGAACACAAAAGGAGAAAGTGGCCCTGGCTGGCTTGGCTCAGTGGATAGAGCGCTGGCCTGTGGACTGAAGGGTTGCTGGTTCGATTCCAGTCAAGGGCATATGCCTGGTTTGCGGGCTCGATCCCCAGTGGGGGGTGTGCAGGAGGCAGCCGATCAATGATCCTCTCTCATCATTGATGTTTCTTTCTCTCCCTTCCTCTCTGAAATCAATAAAAATACATTAAAAAAAAGGGGGGGCGGGGGAGTGGTAGAAAAGTAGGTTGGCAAGGTAGGCAGGGGCCAATCACAAAGGATCTTGAAGGCTGTGGTAGGGAGTTGGAAAGTTTTAAGCTAGATGGAACATGATCTTATTTACATTTTAAAAAGATCACTCTGGTTGCTGAATGGATTGTAGGAAGTCAAGAGTTGAAACCCTAGTTCATAGACTATTGCAGTAGTCTAGAAGAGATATGATGGTGGTTGATGATAGTGGTAAAAGTAATGACAGTTTCATTAGGATATATGTTGAAAGGTCTTGATGAGCAAATCAGGTAAGAAAGGTGGGGAAAAGATGGAATTCTAAGAAATTTAAATATCTATCAAAATGATAGTTTTAGTACTATAATATTATGATTTAAACTCAGCCAATTTTTCTTTGAGATCAAAAATGGATTAGAATTTCATTGGTATGTTTGTCCTAACAGTTTTCACAAAAAGCAGGGTGAAGGGTGAAAATTTTGAATTTTGTTTTCATTTACTTTTTAGGAGAAATGTTAAATAACAACTTTTACAATATTGCATTATGGATTAGTTTTTAAAATAATGTGTGGATGATTAACCAAGTGTATTTTCCCTCAGATTAATGTCCTTCAATCAAAAAGGAGATCAGAAATCCTAAAATCAGTAAGATATTTATTGAAATCATGTTTTAAATATTTTAGTATGAAATTACATGTACATATTTAAGTGTTTAAAGAAGCGTGTGTGTGTGTGTGTGTGTACATATTTATTCCAGGTTTATAATTAATCTTTTTATTTATCTTTTTGTACTAATTATATGTCATCCACTTTTTTGTCTCTGTCATATTATAGTTATTTGTGTGTCTCTCATCACTTAATACACTGATCTCCTTAAATTAGACATTTAAATATTTAAGATTCAGGGCATACATAGTCAGCATTTAGAGAATTTTTTCCCTAGGGTTGCTGATAATATATCAGCCTTTAGGTTCTTTGGTGTGCAGTTAGAAAACAAATGGGATAAAAATTAAGGATCACTTTTTTCCCCCTTAGCTTCTGCACCCATGTTGACATTGATTTTTTTTTCTTATTTTTTGTTTTAAAGTTAATAAGTAAATGGACAGGGAATGGTAGTGATATGGCATTATACTTTTATATTTTGAAAATCTTAGAAATAATTTTTCCTGTCTGACTTCATTCACTGACACTATTTTTTCCCCTCTGAAAGGGTATACTTAAATTGCTCTTCATTCTTATCCCTATGTATATTTTTCCTAAATTTTGTGTATCCTATATAATAAAAGAGAAACATGCAAATTAACCATCCCTCTGCTACACTCAAGCCACACCCACAAGCCAATCAGGAGCGAGTATGCAAATTAACCCAACTAAGATGGCGGTGGCCACGGGGCTGGAGCGAGCAGAAGGCTTGGGTTGCCCCAGCGATGGAGGAAGCCAAGCTTCTTGTCTGCCCTGGCCAGCCCTCGGCTCTGCTCAAGCCTACAAAGTTTCAATTATACAAGATAAATAAATCCCAGAAAAAGAAGAAAAAAGAAAAAAAGGAGAGGTTGGGAGCTTGGGTCGCCGTGGGGCGTGGCCAGCCTGAAAATGGCCATCAGCCCCTCACCCATGCTGGCCACACCCCCATGGGGTGAAGGTCCCCACTGGGGGTCTTGGCCAGCCTGCAAACAGCCATCAGCCCCTCACCCAGGCTGGCCACACCCCCATGGGGTGAGGGTCCCCACTGAGGGGCTGGGCCAGCCTGCAAACAGCCATCAGCCCCTCTCCCAGGCTGGCTAGGCACCCTAGTGGGGACCCCCACTGTGAAGGGGGTGTGGCCAGCCTGAAAACGGCCCTCAGCCCCTCACCCAGGCTGGCCAGGCACCTCAGTGGGATCCCTACCCTGATCCGGGACACCCTTCAGGGCAAACCAGTTGGCCCCCACCAGTGCACCAGGCCTCTATCCTATATAATAAAAGGGTAATATGCAAATTGACCCTAACAGCAGAACGACTGGGAATGACTGGTCACTATGACACACACTGACCATCAGGGGTCAGATGCTCAATGCAGGAGCTGCTCCCTCGTGGTCAGTGCACTCCCACAGGGGGAGCTCTGCTCAGCCACAAGCCAGGCTGACAGCTGACAGCTCAGTGGTGGTGGTGGCGGGAGCCTCTCCCGCCTCCTCAGCAGAGCTAAGGATGTCCAACTGCAGCTTGGGCCTGCTCCCTGCTGGCAAGTGGACATCCCCCGCAGGCTCCTGGGCTGCCAGAGGGATGTCTGATTGCCAGCTTGGGCCTGATCCCCTGGGGAGCGGGTCTAAGCCAGCAGGTGGACATCCCCCGAGGGGTCCTAGACTTCAAGAGGGCACAGGGACCCCCCCGAGTGCACATATTTTTGTGAACCTGGCCTCTAGTATAGATATATTTGTTATTTTTTAATCTAATAATTATATTTTACTTTTGGTTTACATTTACCTCCTCGGTATTGAGAGTAATGTATGCTAATTATAGGAAATTGGAAAATAAAATGCATGAAGAAATAAATAAAAGTATTTATAAATCTTACCACCAAGGGAGAACCACTGTTAATATCTTGGTTTATATCTTTGTCTTTTTCCCTCTTTTTCTGTATGTATGTATGTATGTATATGTGAATATTCCTATATACTTTTTAAAAATTGCATTTAATTTTTTAAAGAAAATAGGAATAATTTCTGTATACTGTTTCATCACTTTCTTTTTTCACTAATACACTCCAAAATCATCAGATGCCATTAAATATTTTTTATGCAATGATGACTTTTGTTGCCAGGCAGAGCTCCACCATGCAAATTTACGACGGGTGAGCAAGCTTTTATTTTTGAAGGGCTAGGTAGTAAATATGTTAGGTTTTGTGAGCAATATGGTCTGTTTCACATCTACTCAAGCTGTGCTGCTGTTATCAGAAAGCAGCCATAGGTAATATATAAATGAATGACATGGCTATGTTCTAATAAAACTTTATGGACATGGAAATTTTAATTTCGTATAATTTTCACGTATCGTGAATTTGATGTCTTTTCATTTTCTTTCAACCATTTCAAAATGTAAAACCATTGTTAGCTCATAAGCCATCAAAATATAATTGGTAGATATAGTTTGCTAATCATAGGTTGCTGACCTTGAATATGCCATACATTAACTTCACTCATTAATGGATTTTTAAGTAATTTTCATGTTTTTGACATTAAAGTATAACATTATAATGATTGTTCAAATGAATAATATGATTATTTCCTTAGTATAAATAAAAACAAGAGATTACTTAGTCAAAGGGTATAAACACTTATTAGGTCTTAAAAAAAATACTGTCAAATTTCAAGGGTTGCACAACATTTCCACTAGTAGTGTGTGCAAGTGAACATTTCCCCATCTTTTACCAATGCTGGGTATTAGTTATAATTGGGTAGATAATGTGATATGATTGTTCAATTTTACTTTTATTTAATTCAAATGAATTTGAACAGTTTTTTCCTATATTTTTTGTCTACTTGATTTCCTTATTTATGTCCTTTGTCTCTTTATCTTTTGGCATGTTCATCTTTTTTATACTGAGTTATAACCTCTCTTATTAAGACTATTAATCCTTTGCCATGTGTTGTTTTCCTAGTTCATCATTTATTTTTTTATATGCATATGAGTTTTGATGTGCTGGCATATTTATGTAGTTGTAGCTATTAATATACCCCCTTTTAAAATATAATTCAGTGTTTTTTATAATATTCACAAAGTTGTTCAATCATCTTTTAGTGAGCTTTGTCTTTGGGTATTATTTAATTGTTTTTTTCTCTTTAAAATTTTCTTTTGAAGAATTCTTAAGTACTATGAACCTTAGGATCTATGTTAGATTTCAGAGAATTAAACATGGGTCATCTTGCTAAAAATAACATGGTTGTTAGAGGATTCTTTTAATATTGATTATTTGATTGAATTGTTTATTTCTTTCTCATGTGCCAACTTAACTAATAAAAGTAGAGGTGATTTTTCTCTCATGTATAGGTAAAATATAAGAAATTTTGAAAAAAATCTCAATCCATTAATGACATTTTAGGTTTTCAGAATGAGTAGAAAGAAACCTCCATAGCAAAGTCTGTTGACTCATTTTATTTTGGTATCTTGAGCAAATACGAACATTCCCCTACTTTGGATTGTGCTTGGTAATCTAGTAGGTTGTAAAGTGTTTGTGATGGTTTTGCTTTATTTTGAGTACTTCATATTTCTCCTTTTAATCTTTTAATGTCTTATTTGCAGTTTAAGTTTTTACCAGTGAATTTGGTTGAAAGTCACAGAGATATTTCATAGCGTACCTAGGAATTTGGTGGAGCTATTGAAAACCTGATTCTCCGAACTATTACTATGAAAATTTTGATCATTTGGATATAGTCCAAACAACTAGAATTTGGTGCATTGTTAAAATTTTGAACCGTTTAGATATTTCTTTTAAATAAAAATTGTCATATTTGTAAGTATTTCTAAAACACTCTTTTTTATTCATATTATTTCTTCTTAAAAGTATTTTTTTATTCATTTTAAAGAGAGAGGAACAGAGAGATAGAAACATTGATGAGAGAGACACAATGATCGGCTGCCTCTTGCACATTCCCCACTAGGGATCGAGCCCGCAACCCAGGCATGTGCCCTCACCAGGAATTGAACTGGGGTCCTCTTGGTTCATGGGTCGACACTCAACCACTGAGCCATACCAACCAGGCTCTAAAATACTCTTTTAAGAAAAATGATCCAGTTTAACTTTAAATAGGTTTGATATTTTGGTCTCTTGTGGAATAATTTCATACATTAGGGAGGATAAAGATTTTTAAGAATTTTGAATTGTTTATCTAAGAATTGATTTTAAAATGCTAATCTTTTTTTCTTCTATTAGATGTTATCCTTTATGTATGCCCACTTGGCCTTCTTTCATCAAGGATATGATCTATTTAGTGAACTTGGGCCCTACATGAAGGACCTTGGTGCACAGGTATACTCTTGATTCTTTGTTATACACTGACATATGAATTTTGAAAAATTGAGATATAGTTGACATATAACATATTACTTGAAGGTATATAATAAAGTGATTTTATACGCACACACACAAAAGATCATCATAATAAGTCTAATTAATATCCATCACCCCCTATAGTTTTAAATCTTTTCCTCTTGATGAGAACTTTAAAGATCTATTCTCATATCAACTTCAGATATATAATACAGTATTATTTACTATAGTCACCATGTTGTACATTACATTACAGGACTTATTTTTTATTTTTTTTAAAATATATTTTATTGATTTTTTACAGAGAGGAAGGGAGAGAGATAGTTAGAAACATCGATGAGAGAGAAACATAGATCAGCCGCTTCCTGCACACCTTCTATTGGGGATGTGCCCGCAACCAAGGAATATGCCCTTGACCGGAATCGAACCTGGGACCTTTCAGTCCGCAGGCCGACGCTCCATCCACTGAGCCAAACCGGTTAGGGCTGCAGGATTTATTTTATAACTGAAAGTTTGTAGCTTTTGACCCTCTTTACCCATTTTGCTCATCTCCTATTCCGCTTTTGGCAACCTCCAAACTGCTTTCTGTATCTATGAGTTTGGGTTTTTTGGTTTGTTTGTTTTTTAGATTCTACATATCATATGGTATTTATCTTTCTCTGACGTATTTCACTTAGCATAATGTCCTCAAGGCCTATCCGTGTTCTAAATGACAGAATTTTTTTTTCCTTTAAAGAATAGTTTATTGATTTATAGAGAGGAAGGAAGATGGGGAGAGAGAGAAACATCAATGTGATAGCACCAGAAACATCATCTATCTGATGCCTTTTGCATGCCCCCTCCCGGGAATGCAGCCTGCAACCCCGGCAATGCCCTTGACCAAGAATAGAATTGGTAACCTCCTGGTGCATAGAACTATGCTCAACCAACTGAGCCACACAGGCCAGGATTCTTTTTTTTTTTCTTAAATGGCTGAAAAATATTCCAATTTCGTATATATGCCACATTTTCTTTATCCATTCATCCATCGATGGACACATAAGTTGTTTCCATGTCTTGGCTATTATAAATAATGCTGCAATGGACATGGGGATGCAGATACCTTTTTGAGTGTCTTTGTTTCCTTCAGATAAATACCCAGAAGTGGAATTGCTAGAACATATGGTAGTCCTTTATTTATTTTTTGAGAAACCTTCATACTGTTTTCTATACTGGCTGTATCAGTTTACATTCCTACCAACAGTGTGCAAGGGTTCCTTTTTCTCTACATTCTTGCCAACCTTTGTTATCTCTTGTCTTTTTGATAATAGCCATTCTAACAGGTATGAGGTAATAATCTCATTGTGGTTTTGATTTGCATTTCCTTGATGATTGGTGACATTGCATACCTTGTCATGCACTTTTTGGCCATCTGCATGCCTTCAGTGGAAAAATGTCTATTCAGATCCTTTGCCTGTTTTAAATTGGATTGTTTGGGGGTTTTTTTACTATTGAATTATATGCATTCTTTATATATTTTGGATATTAACCCCTTATCAGATATTGGATTTGCAGGTGCTTCCTGCCATTTGATAGGTTGCCTTCTCATTTTATTGATGGTTTCCTTTGCTGTGCAAAAGGTTTTTAGTTTGATGTAGTCTCATTTATTTATTTTTCCTTTTGTTGCCTTTGCTCTGATGTTTATATTTTAAAAGAAATTTATCATATTAGGGAATTTAATATTCTCTTACTTAATGAAGAAGTTGGGAAAACCAAGATGGCGGCATAGGTAAACACCGGAGTTAGCTGCCTCGAACAACCACTTCAAAAATACAACTAAAAGACGGAACGGACATCGCCCAGAACCACAGGAAGACTGGCTGAGGGGAAATTCTTCAACTAGAAGGAAAGAGAACAGCATATGAGACTCAGAGGAGGCGCAGTGCGGAAAATACAAAGGTGCAGAGGTACGCGCGGAGCGTGCTGGTAGCTGAGGGCGCGGTTGTCGTTTTCAATCGGGAGGGAGTCTCTGAGATCCAGTTCTGGGCGAGTCTCTAGGGACCCAGACTCAAACAGGAGAAGCGGGACTGTCCGGCATCGGTCGGAACACGAGGGCAGCTTTCTCTCCGAGGTACTTGCAGCGGTTGCTGGGACTCTGAGAGGCAGAGCCTCTGGGGACGGGACTGAGAGCAGCCATAACGGCTCCCTCCACCTGCTCTGTTGATCCCGTGCGACCCGCCCCGCCCAAGCCCTGCGCAGAGCCATTTGCCAGATAGCCTCAGGCAAAGGCTAGATTAGCACCTCCCTAGAGGACAGAAGTTTTCCCACTGCAGACACAGCTGATTCTCACAGCCAGTTGGCCTGGAGGTCAAATCCCCCTAGTATTAACTACAACAATCAAGGCTTAACTACAACAAGACTGCGCACAAAGACCACTAGGGGGTGCACCAAGAAAGCATAAAAAATCTGGAGACAAAGAAACAGGACAAAACTGTCAATGGAGGATATTGCGTTCAGAACCACACTTTTAAGGTATCTCAAGAACTGTATAGAAGCCGCTGATAAAGTTATTGAGATCTACAAGAAATCTAATGAGACCCTCGATGTTATGATAAAGAACCAACTAGAAATTAAGCATACATAGACTGAAATAACGAATATTATACAGACTCCCAACAGCAGACCAGAGGAGCGCAAGAATCAAGGCAAAGATTTGAAATGCGAAGAAGCAAAAAACACCCAACCAGAAAAGCAAAATGAAAAAAGAATCCGAAAATACGAAGATAGTGTAAGGAGCCTCTGGGACAGCTTCAAGCATACCAACATCAGAATTATAGGGGTGCCAGAAGATGAGAGAGAGCAAGATATTGAAAACCTATTTGAAGAAATAATGACAGAAAACTTCCCCTACCTGGTGAAAGAAATAGACTTACAAGTCCAGGAAGCACAGAGAACCCCAAACAAAAGGAATCCAAAGAGGATCACACCAAGACACATCATAATTAAAATGCCAAGAGCAAAAGACAAAGAGAGAATCTTAAAAGCAGCAAGAGAAAGAAACTCAGTTACCTACAAGGGAATACCCATACGACTGTCAGCTGATTTCTCAACAGAAACTTTGCAGGCCAGAAGGGAGTGGCAAGAAATATTCAAAGTGATGAATGCCAAGAACCTACAACCAAGATTACTTTATCCAGCAAAGCTATCATTCAGAATTGAAGGTCAGATAAAGAGCTTCACAGATAAGGAAAAGGTAAAGGAGTTCATCACCACCAAACCAGTATTATATGAAATGCTGAAAGGTATCCTTTAAGAAGAGGAAGAAGAAGAAAAAGGTAAAGATACTAATTATGAACAACAAATATGCATCTATCAACAAGTGAATCTAAGAATCAAGTGAATAAATAATCTGATGAACAGAATGAACTGGTGATTATAATAGAATCAGGGGCATAGAAAGGGAGTGGACTGACTATTCTTGGGGGGGAAAGGGGTGTGGGAGATGCGGGAAGAGACTGGACAAAAATTGTGCACCTATGGATGAGGACAGTGGGGGGATAAGGGCAGAGGGTGGGGTGGGAACTGGGTGGAGGGGAGCTATGGGGGGAAAAAAAAGAGGAACAAATGTAATAATCTGAACAATAAAGATTTAATAAAATAATAAAAAAAAAAAAGTTGGATGCTACAGCAGATTTATGTAGGATTAAATGTGTAACCAAAAATGAGATTAAAGTTAAAAAATTTTATAGAAAGCATATGAGAGTACTAAAAAGGAGAATTTAAAAACATAGTGTCTGTTTTACAGTATACATGATTTAGTTTTCTTTTTTAAAAAACTATTTTTATTGATTTCAGAGAGGAAGGGAGAGGGAGAGATAGAAACATCAATGATGAGAGAGAATCACTAATCGGCTGCCACCTGTATGCCCCCTACTGGGGATCAAGCCCGCAACCTGGGCATGTGCCCATGACCGGAGTCGAATCCGGGACCCCTCAATCCATGGCCAACGCTCTACCCACTGAGCAAAACAGGCCAGGGCTAGTTTTCTTTTCTTACATTTGGAAAATTGAGTTACTGTCATAATTGAGTTATAGCTTTTTGTTTTCATTTGAGTTATAGCTTTTTGTTTTAAAAAATGTTGTACTTTGCTATTTTGAATAATAAAATTTTAGAAGTTTAAGATTATAGAACTTTGTGAACTTTTTCATTTTATATAAATACATGAACATGCATGAATTATACATATATAAGACTATTATAGAAATTTCAGTATGTTCAAATTATTTTTGATACATGATCAGAACTTTATATTAGATATGTTCTGGGACATTTTTTCTTGTTGATTGGTGAACTCTCCGGATTTAATAGTATCAACTTTTAGGTGATTTTTTTCTTTTCCATATGGTTCTGGTTACTTTTTTGAGGAGAGGAAATTAAAGATGAAAACTAGAGTTTAGGAAAATGGGGAAAAAGGTAATAGTGGGATCAGAATTGCATTCAATGAGCAAAAATAAATATGGTGCATGCTCATGTGTGTTGGGGTGGTGTTAGGGAGGGATGGTGTACAGGGCATATGCCATGAGTTAGAGTGATACTGTGTTCTGCCTATAAAGAACTTAATTTATTGGAAGAAACCAACAAGTTACCAGACTGTTATTCTCTGTGCTAAGTGCCCTGTCTGGGTATATAAATTGAGATTAGGTTTGTTTGCAATATGATAGAAAACTGAATAGTAGTAGCCTCAATAATATAGAACTTTATTTCTCATATGTAATGTCAAAGAAAGGTCTGATATGGTAGTCACTTGGTCTTCAGCCTGTTAAACTCATAATGTTCAATACTAATAGAAACATGGAGTACTTCCTGTTGTGCTCCAAACTCTTTGTTCCTCATACAGTCCAAGCATCTAGGAGTCAAGACTGCTAGTCTTCACATCTCCCCAGCTCATACCTCCCCTAACTCTCCTCCACATTGACAAATATTATTTTTCCTTAATACTTCTCCAACAGATTAGGAGGGGGAATTTTCCCTCTTTCTGCTGCAATAGCAGTGGAGTGGAATGCAGAAGCAGGATTTACTACCAGTTTGACAGGCAGAAAAGCATCACTTGCATTGCAGTACTGTGTGTAAGGTACATGCCCTCAAGTTTATAGATATTAGGCTGAATTTTGGAGGTTTCCCTGTACTGCACTTCAATCTGAATGAACGAATATTATTTATATACTGTTCAATTAAAGGCTATAAAACCATGGGATAAGGATTATTCAGTATAGGAAACTATTGAGGACAAACATTTTCCTAGTGTAGCATGTATCAGCATTACCTATTAAATCAGTGTTACATGTCACTAAGGTATGTATGTATTAGATCCTATAGTAGAGTAGTATAGTTACTATCTAAATAAAATATTTTACAGTAGTGACAGTTCTGTTTCAGTGTTTTCTTTGATTCTTTATTACTATTCAGTGATATTAAGAATCTGTGGCCAGAATATTCTCCTGTAAAAAAAACCAAAACACAAAAACAACCCCACATCATTTGTGATACAGAGTGAATAAAGGATCAAATAGTTTTTTTTAAATTAATTAATTTTATCTTTATTGTTGAAAATATTAAAGATGTTCCCTCTCTTCCCCCGATTCACCCCCTCCACTATGCTTCTGCCCCGCCCCAGGCCTTCACCACACTATTGTCTGTGTCCATGGGTTATGCATATATGCATATAAGTTTTTTGGTTAATCTCTTCCAGCCCCACCCTCCCCCCTTCCCTCTGAGATTCATCAGTCTGTTCCATGCTTCTGTGTCTCTTCAGATAGTTTTTAAGAAGGCCTTTATCCAATTTAGTTTTTAAAGCATATCAATGAAAGCATTTGGATATTTTAGTACTTTAACTTCCTCCATATTCCATTTATATTTTTATTTATTCATTTATCACACATTAATCAGTTAGAGGTGATGGGGGGAGAGGGTGGTGGTCCAAAGATGAAATGACATTCATCACAGTCTAGAAGAGTCAAACCACATAATAGAGTATTTTATAACCCAATTGTTTGTTAGTCTAGCAAAGAGGAGTTCAAGAAGTCAGTGAATTTGTCTTAATACTGGAAATCAGATATTTCTCTTAATGGAAGTTCATTTTTTCTGATGGAAAGGAACAAGAAAGAAATGGGATTTTATGATTTTATTTTGTGATTTTTGAGCTTTAAAAAACACTTAAAAATTGGTAGTTGTATACCCTGGTCTTAAGAATAATTACTAGTTTATTACTATTTTTTAGCTTTCTCTTTTCTGTGAATTATTTTTTCTAGCTTAGATTTGATTATAATACTAGGAAGCCAACTTGAAAACAGGAAGTATCTTATCCTGGTGAACTTCTGAGAGCTGCCATGTACTAGCTTAGCTGCTATTTTTTGCTATTGCAGAAAAAAAATCACCCGTGTATCTTCTGTCTATCTTTGATTGTAACTACCAGAATCGCTGAGTGGGTCAGCAGACAATTGAAGCTGGAGCCATTTTCCTTGTTCAAGGAGTGAACAAGTTATCTCTGTTGTATTCTTAACCAGGCATCCTGTCACATTTGTTTGAAGCATGGTTATTCTTAGAAACATTTTCCTTAGAGTTATGGACCTTTTCAAGAAGGGTTTGATACTAGAAAACAAAATAAAACAAAAACATCTCCAATTCAAAGTTATAGCCAAAATGCTTTCTTAAAGTTCATTTAAATTGACTTACTGGGACTATGCTTATAAAAATAAACACACCGTTTTTTTAAAGTCTATATAATTTTCTCTTTCCCCCCTTTTGTAGTTGGATCGACTGGTTGTGGATGCAGCAAAAGAGAAAAGAGAGATGGAGCAAAAACATTCCACCATTCAACAAAAGGTAGCTGAGGGGAAAAGTTAAAGGATATTAATGGAAATTAGTCACATATTAAATCACATATTAAATTTGTATGTGAATTCCTCCTATTTTTGTCAAAAGTAAAATATTTTTCAGATGTTCAGGCATTTGTTCTATTATTCTTTTACATCAAAATATTTGAAATCCATGCTCTTGAACCAGTTTGCAAAAGCATCAGTCTGTTAGGGCCTTAACTAATTTAAAAGTGGTCCTTAGTTAGACTTTAAAACACTACAGTTTCAGGTAGGCTGTTACCAATCCCTGTAAAAGTGTGTGTGTGTGTGTGTGTGTGTGTGTGTGTGTGTGTGTGTGTGTGTGTGTGTGTGTGTTGGGTTGGGAGCTGTGGGTGGGTAGGTAGGGTGGAGAACACCTCAGCATCAATGTGTATGTTTGGTATTATGGGCTTCCCATCTGGCAGCACTCTAAGGCAGCACCCCCCATCTTTCATGTGATGCTGAAATTTCACTTGCATTTCTTGTTAATTTGCCTAAGCCTACCTAAACTGGTATCAGGAAAATATATTTTTAAATGAAAATTTAAATATGAAACCGGTTTTTATTTCTGTGTGCTAGAAGCTTTGAATATTACAAACCTGGAATTCAACCTAATAATATTTATCTTATATAGTCAGTGATATTTTTTGTGTAGTAATCTGAAAACAAAAGGAGAGAATTATAGATTGAATATAATAATACAAGCAAATGACAAGATGCCTCTATCCTGTCATGGCAGATGCCCAAACTATGAAGGTGGTTTTCCCAGGGCGAGGCTTATTGATCACATTCCTGATTTACTAACCCCTGAGCTTTTCCCAGATGTGGGAAACTCAACTGCGTAATTTGTGGTAGTGGAGGACCCTGTTTGCACTTTCCCCCAAAACAGTGGTTCTCAACCTTTGGGTCGCGACCCCTTTGGCGGTCGAACGACCCTTTCACAGGGGTCGCCTAAGACCATCCTGCATATCAGATATTTACATTATGATTCATAACAGTAGCAACATTACAGTTATGAAGTAGCAACGAAAATAATTTTATGGTTGGGTCACAACATGAGGAACTGTATTTAAAGGGCCAGAAGGTTGAGAACCACTGCCCCAAAAGGAAAAAAAAGATGCCTTCTAACATTGCTTTAAAGGAATCTGTTCCCTTGTTGTTGAGCAATCAAATCAACTTTTGTTATGGTTGATTTAGAATTTAAAATACCAGTAAACTAGATCTAACATAGAACATGTCAGTGGGGGGAAAAAAAAGAAAGTGAAATCAGTAAGAAAAGTAAGGAAAATTTTATTGGTGATGGGTTCTTAATACTCAAAGAGAAATATTGTCTACCACCTCATCTTTAAATTAGTTACTTCTTGCTATAGTCTAATAAGACTAGCTCCATCTTTTGTTTTTGTTTAAGGTTAAATTACTTTTGGTTGGGTAACTTTTCATTACCATGGAAAGATTTTAAAAAATTTGGGACCAGTCATTTCTAATTAAAACAAGAGGTTACTGTCTACGGCCACACCACCCTGAACGCGCCCGATCTCGTCTAAAACAAGAGGTTATGATATTTGTGGAAACACAACTGTTTGCTTCAAATAAATTATTTAATTAATATTATGCATCTTTTAATGCCTTTACCTATTATGTACACAATTCAGTTAGACTATTAAATCTAAAATTAATTTATTTGATTTTAAGTAATAGTCTATTACTATTTTCCTTTAAAGAAAGTAATGCTATTTTTGCTCATTATATATATATATATATACTTACTTTTTTTCTGCCCTTAAATGCTGACACAAGGCTGCATTACAGGTAAAATAAAAAGGGGTGGGGAGGGAAGAAAACAAGATCCAGTCAACTAAAAATTAAGGGAAAGTATGTCTAATGTAATTATTTGATTTTCAAGAATTGAAGTTGGTCAATTAAAGAAATAAAGATGCTATGCATAATCAATTCATGTAAACTATTTTTCAAAATGTTATACCATTCCCATTAGGCAGCACTGTATGAGAATTCCCATTGCTCCTTGCCACCTCATTGTATTGTGAGAATTTTTTTTTTCTTTTTGCCTATTTTGGTGGGTAGATAGTGACATCTCATTGTCGTTTTAATTTATGCTTTAGTCACAAATGAGCTTGAGTACCTTCCCCTATGTCTCTAGTCACTTGGATATCCTGTTTGTGAAATGTCTGTTAGTCTTTTTTTCCCATTAGGTTGCCTAACTTGATCATATTCTTCATATATTCTGACTATATGCTCCCTTTTAGGGTATATGTGTTTTTGATTTTCACAAGCTGGGTGTTTTTTTTTAATTCTTTTATGGTTTTGTATGTGTGTATGTGTGTGTGTTTGTGTGTGTATCTTTTTGTGTATTGCTTAATAAATCCTTCCCAACCCAAGATCATGAAGATATATTTCCTGTATAATCTTCTAAGTGTTTGCAGGCTTGCCTTTTATGTTTCGATCTTTAATCCATCTGTAATTGTGTATGGTGTGAGGTAGAGATCCAATTTCCTTTTATTCTCACATTGATAGCTATTCAGTTATTAAAAAGTTTATTCTTTCCCTACTAGTGTGTGCTTTATTCTCTGTTATATATCACATTTCCATATACATGAGGCCGGCTTCAGGTTCTCTATTCTTCTTCAGTGTGTGTGTGTGTGTGTGTGTGTGTGTGTGTGTGTGTGTTGTGCTAGTACTCTGCTGTCTTAATTATTTTAGCTATATAGTATCTCTTATATCTGACAAAGTAAAGCTTCCTCTACCCTCTTTTCTTCAAAAGTGAATTGCCTAAACTATGGAAATTGCATTTCCATAAAAATTTTAGAAGTATCTTTTCACGTAGCATAAAAAATCTCTTTTGGGAATTTGATTGAGAGATTGCATTAGAAAAATGTGATCAGTTTGGGGAAGAAGTCATATCTTTATTCTACAATGTGTTCTAATCCATGAGCTTAAAATATTTTCTTCATTATTTAAGTTTTCTTCAATATCCTTCAGAAATTTTGATAATTTTCTTATACATCTTTTTATTCCTAGACACTTATATTACAAATGTTATTGTAAATATTATCTTTAATTTTTTTCACTGTTTACTTTTGTATATAGTTGAGTAAAATTGACTTTTCTGTATTGATTTTATAACCAGTGATCTTGTTGTGTTCTTTTTAACACTAATTTGTCTCTGGGTTCTTTGTGTACAGCTTTGGATGTTCTGTGTACAGCTTTGGATGTTCTGTGTACAAAACCTTATCATCTGCAAATAAGGATAGTTCATTTCTTCCTTTCCAATCCTTTGCTTTTTGTTTGTTATCTTGCTGGCTAAGACTTCCATCATAATCTCAACTCAAAGTGGTAATGATGTTCCTTCTTGTCTTCTTTGCAATTTCAAAAGGGAAAGCTTCTTCCCTTTATTGGCCAACCTTACTCTTGCCTTCTGTTCCCTGGGCCCTACACCAAAGCTTCAAGTTCTCTGATGAGTCAAATGTTTTTAAGGTGAAAGCTAGCTTCCTTGCTCTGCTTACCTCTTTGGCTTCCAATTTTCACTCAATATTTTGCCTTTGAGTATTCCTTTCTGATTTGTCAGCTCATCAATATATTTACATGCTAATATATATTTTACTCAGCATTATTAGTTACTTTCATTATAAAATAATATAAGCCTTCTCATTTTAAATACTATAAAATATTAATTTGATATTAATAATAATGAAATTAAAGGCCTAATTTACTTCAAAAATATAATTGAAAATTAGAATACTACAAATGTATTACATTTTCAGTGAAGTCTTATTTGATATTTTAGATAGGATCAGGGTTATTAAAAAACTGCTGATGTTACAAATGAAACTCAATTATAACTATTGCTGACTTAATCCTGTCTGCATAATTATATAAATTATAGCCTCAAAGAAATTTTAAGTGAAGGAATTAAAGTTTCCCTGATTTTTTTCCGAAGAAAAAATAGAAAGAAATGTACTAATTCATTTATAGATTGTTTCATTTGATTATTTTGTATCATGTCCTCTTATGGGTTAATTTTGAGACATGTCAGGTGAGCTTTGTTTTTAATTCTGATTTTAGCTTACTTCCTTTTTCCATCTTTGTAGACTTTTAGGTTTGGAAGGCCCTTATTTTTTCTCACTCTGCCTCCCCTTTAATGCAGGAACTCCATGTCCAGCAATCTTGGCAGGTGCTCATTCAGCTTTTGTCAAAATCTTTCTCAAGACAGAAAGTTTACTACTACTTAACAAGATAGCATTCTAATTTTGATCATTGGTCCAGAGTACTTTTGAAATTACTGAGACTGATTTTTAAAGTTTTAAATTTGGGGATAGCAGCAATCTTGCATTTTTATCAGATTACTTTGGAAGTTTATCAGGAAAAAATTTAATTGTGGGATTTGTGATTTCAATATTTCATGAATCCTTGGGATAAATCAAAAGTTTGTATTGTATACAAGTGAAGATTAGAATGATAGAAGGTTATGAATGATTCTATAGTCCTCATATAAAAAAGAGAACTCGACATGCGCACTTCAGACTGTCACTTTCCTTTGTAACACTAAATTTTATTTTAGGACAAAATGTCTTTATCTTATTTCATTACTCCCATATGGTGGAGTTACTACTCCTATCAGATTAAAAAACTACAGTGATAGTAATATAATTAGAATATAGTGGTAATACTATTTGAAAGTATCTATTCCATTTTTAATAGTTAGCACACACATCACCATAAAATGTTGGAAAAAATGAAAACATTTTAAATATAACACCCTGCCGTAACCGGTTTGGCTCAGTGGATAGAGCGTCGGCCTGCGGACTGAAGGGTCCCAGGTTCGATTCTGGTCAAGGGCATGTACCTTGGTTGCGGGCACATTCCCGGTGGGGGGTGTGCAAGAGGCAGCTGATCTATGTTTCTCATCGATGTTTCTAACTCTCTATCCCTCTTCCATCCTCTCTGTAAAAAAAAAAAAAAATAACACTCTGTATAATATTTAGTTGTTCTCCTTATATACATATTATTTTGTGCTTTTAGTCACAGTGTGTATAGAGTTTATATTATTTTGTTTTCTCTTTCAGAGTATATTTCATGCAATCACCTGTGTTTTATGTCATCATCATTATAACAATTATTGCATAATAGTCCACTGAATTGAAATTCTTCAATATGTTGATGCATTCTTCTGTTATTCAACATTTAGGTCTCCCCCTTTCTTATGACTGTTGTTGATGTAACTCTCTTAATGCGAAGTTTTTCTACCATTTGAGCTGTTTTTCTAGGATGAATTTTTTGTCTAGCAGCTTAGTCAAATCATATGAAATTTCTTGTGTTATTTTGTCTAGGATTTCTCCAGTGATGATTCTAAGTTAGAATATAATGTAGATGCTGCAAATGGCATTGTTATGGAAGGATATCTGTTCAAACGAGCCAGCAATGCCTTCAAAACTTGGAACAGGTAATATATTTCAAATAATAGCCTCAATTTTTCCATATTCTCAGCCTTCCAACTTTTCTTGTCATTTGGCAACTCTTTCCTTCATAATTCTCTAAAATCATAGTTCATGGTAATTTTCCTGAACCCAGTTCATTGAAGATAAGATGCCCTTCTAGGAAAGGGGACCCTAAGGAGCAAGTGAAAAATGACAACACTAACTTAAGCAAAGTTTAAACCAGGAAGCAAGAAGTTTTATAGTGATTGGTCTATACTGATTAGACCATTATAATAAGGACATTTTCAATTTGAGCTACCCCTCATATTTGTTAGGAAATAGATCTGATTACAAATCATGTGTTGAATATAATGGGTAAATAGGCCAAATGAACTCTTCCCCCCTTTGATTTCCTGTCCTATATGATGTTTTGTACATTTTCACTTAGTTGTTTATGAATTTTAAATGGGGTGATTCTTTTCTTTGCAATAATTTTAATTAACGAGGAGTTTTAGGAAATGGGATTGTTCTTATGTGAAGTGTGTATGGTAGCTGGTGCTCCTTTATTCTAAACTTGATAGCTACCAGAAACTCTGCATTTTTTTGCTAAATTTATTTCTATAAAATATTAATTCAGTAAATTTTGTTAAATGAATGAATGTGTAAAATATTTTATTTTATTTTCCCATGTATTAATATAATAAAGTGAAATCACTTCAGACATTAAGGCATTAAAAAAAAGATTGGGTTGTCTCAGGATAATCCTGAATAGCAGTCATTTATTTTTTAAATTCAGTGATGCCCATCTTTTTGCAAAAAAAAAAAAAAGATAGTAGTCAGAACAGTTTTGTATTAATTAAAAGTAGTATTGGGTTCTAGTTAATTGATTTTCTGTTATATTATAGTTGAATATATAAATTTTATTCTCTACTTAAACATAATATGAATTCACTTAATGATGGAGAAGATTTTATTTTTAAAAAGTGTACATTAGCAAAATAAGAAGAGTTTTCCTGGTAAGTTTAGTATACATTTTTGTTTAAATGGAAATGACCATGCTTGAATATTTAACATATTAAAATGGGTTCCTAGTGTACTTATTCTGATTTTTTGGTGAAGAGGTTATAGAGATAAAACATTCATTGATATTTTCAAATTTGAGCATTTCCCAAGAATTTGGTATTACCAAATGTTCAAGTGGTACATGGTGTGTTTTATTTGAAATTATTTTTCTTTACCTGAGAATGAATATAAACTAAAAAGAATAATGACTATATGTGACTAGAAGCCCGGTGCACGAAATTCATGCACAGATAGGGTCCCTAGGCCTGGCCAGCGATCAAGGCCAAACTGTGGGGCGACTGGCAGGGCAATCGGGGGGCTCCCAGTGGCACCTGCCTTGGCTGGCCTGCATTGAGCATCTGCCCCCTGGTGGTCAATGTGCGCCATAGCGATCTGTTTTTCTGCCAGTCTGCTGTTTGGTCAATTTGCATATTAGGCTTTTATTGTATAGGATATTAAGCCTCTTTGAGTTATATAGAACTTTAAAAATAATATATGAATATAGAAGGACCAACTAAGATGGTCTAGTTAGAAATAATTTTATGAACTATAGTAAAGTGAAAATGAAAAAGTAAAACTCTGTTTTCTAAGCTGTAAAAACCAAGACAATAATTTTTCAAACCTTTCCTGGCATATTTCTATAGCCGGAGTAGGAAATAAAAATAATGTGATTATCAAATTTTTATAGTAGAGATATTTCAACCAATTCAGTTTCATGAGGTAATGTTAGAGTTGAATTTTAACCTTCAGATTTCAAAACAACCTACTTAAAGTTTAACATAGTGAAAACCCAATAAATCTATGGAAACTATACCATTATGTTAAGAAGAATGAAATGAACTTTCATGCGGCACTCCAGTGAGAAATGATGTCAGACTTCAAAATGAAGTACAGTGTTAGTGGGAAATTACATTGCCATTTAGGAGAGTAGAAAAAATTTTAAAAATGTACATTAGCAAATTTGAATTCTGATTTAAGCATGGACCTTATTTTTATTATTTGTTTCATGAATATTAATTAGCATAGATAATAAAATATAACTAAAATCAAGTAGGAAATAACTATTCTCAATTGTAGACATGTAATCTACTGTTTGCAAAGTGCAAAAAATAGTACCTATATAAGTGAGACTACTTTATAAAGGAGAGGCTATCTATATGTAATAGGATGATACTTATTAATTCAAATCATAGATCATAGTTCAATTGTTAGTAAAGAAATGGAGGTGCTGAGAGATGGTTGCTCATTTAAGGTTACACAGCTGGTTTGTGACAAAATTGAGGCCCCAAACCTGGCATTTTTTGAAAACTTGATATGGAAATTCCAAGCAGTCTATATTTTGATACAACAAAATACAACTTCAGCTATTAAAAAAATGCTTAAGGGAGACATCTGTAATAGTGTCACAATTGAAAAAAAAAAGAAAGCTGGAGGATTAACAAGAAAAAAGTAGCTTAGAAACTAGTCAATTTGCATTCTTAGGAAAAATTATGCATAGCAAATTAATTTGATTTTCATGAACTTTTAATGAACATTTTGATGAAAACACTGGTAAAAAGCAGACTTGTAGGAATAGAGCATATAAACACTATATAAAACTCACAAACAAATGCAAAAGTCAAAACCTTGTAACAGAAGAGTTAAGTATTTTTTAGGTTATAAGCCTTTAACTATAAAAGGAAAAAGAGTTATCTATTAAATGTTATTTCGACTTTCTTCTGCTTTTTAATTATAAAAATTTAGAATGTATCTGAATTTCTTATGAATTTTATGAAAGGTTGAATCCCAGAAAGTACTGCAAATAATTTTTCTTTCCATATATATGACTTTAGTGTCTAATCTGCTTCTCGAATTCTCTATCCAGCTTGATTTAATATAATCTAGCCTCTGAATAAAAGACTATTTGTGATATTTGTGCCTTAACTCTAAAAATCCAGAAATCCAGCTCTTCAAACAAATATTTTCCTGCCTACTTTTAAGTTTGTGTGTGTGTGTGTGTGTGTGTGTGTGTGTGTGTATTTTTTTCTGATTGTTCATGCATTATATTTAGGGGAATATTTTTTTTTTTTGGTCATAATCACCATAGGTACCAATCACAAATTTACCATTATTTGTAGTTTTATAGAATAGTGGCATATAATATTTTCAAAATTAACTTTTTAAAAAGACCTCCTTTCTGAGAGAAATGTGAATTTGACTACGAATTTCTCATAGTTTTAAAACCTGGTCTTGTGCTTTATAAAATCTAAGTATATTTTGACAGCATTATTCTATGACCTGAAATTAACTGAAGAGATCATATTTTGTGTGATGTGGTTGAGATAATGTAAGGAGTGAAAACGTTTTATGTTTTATGAATTATTGAGTTTGTTTCTGGTTTATTTCAGATATTCTTAGTTTTTGTGTCTTAAGATTTTTATACATCTATAATATATATATTTTCTGAGAACATGTAAGATCTACTAAAATAATATTTCATTTTCAGGCCATTTTCTCAGTATGGCTGCTTTACTTCAGGCTCAAATCAGTGGTAGATGAATTACTAGTACCTATATTTCTCTTTTACTTTTAATGATACATTCAGAAAGGATGATTAACCAGGAAAATAATTAAATATTAAAAGTTATTTAGTTTTAAGCTGATAAAACAAATAAAACTGAATAATTATGTGCTATGCTCAGTCTATGTTAAATTTAAAAATATAGCTAAAGGAATAAAATGTATTATACAGTTTCTTAAAGCAGAGCATCTATATGCTGCTAATACAGATATAAACTTTTATTTGTGTGACTTTATTTAAAAATAAGATGTACATACATAGGTTAAAGATGAACTCTACTTATGTGTGGCCTTAGAGTCTGCTATAATTTAACGAAAAGGGTTTGAGCAGGTGGGTGAGTTTATTTGACTGATAATATTTTATAATCACTGAAATTCTTAGTTAGTGATCCCACTTTTCTTATGTAAAGTTTTTATTTATCTCAGGTTTATATAGACATAGCTATAATGATTGTTAAGATGAAGAAAGGTACTATCTATATTTAATAGCTTTGACAATAGAGGCAGAAAATAATAGTAGAGGTATACCCAAGTGTGCTACGTCCTACAGAACTTTATTATAACATAATACTAGAAGAAAATTTTTGAATATTTCTGAAATATTAGTTTTCAGATTCCTAACAGTTGGAATTAATTGTACACGTGCATATATGTATAATATGTGAAAAAATATGCAACAGATTTTCGATTATTTTGTTAGATTATAAGCTTAAGCTTGTTTCTTTAATTCTTGCTTTATTTTCATATCATGCTAGTCCTTTGCTTATTTTGCACATTTGCGTTTTCATTCTTTTACCACCTTTCCCTTATGTTTTAATCTGCCCCATTTTTTCACATGACAGGAAAAAGCCCGATCATATCAGGTACCAAATGGCTTTCTTCCCCTCACCCCCTACCTTACTCCAATTTCTTCTTTGGCACGAGAAAGCTCATAATTAACCTGCATTTTGTTTGGATTACTTGCAATGGATATACAGTCTCTTATGTTTTAATTGGTAAGAAAATGTAAACATCTTATTTGAGGATCGAAATTATACCTTTTCATTGTCTATGTCCTCAATTTCTTTAATCTGGAAAAGAACATATGATGTGTTTATAGTTACTCAAAGAAGATTATACATTGAGTAATATGAGATATATATATATATATTTAAGAGAAATAAACAATAACTAGGAATTAGTCCCTTTGGTAATAACCAGATTGGTTTTGTTGAAAGGAAACACTGTCAGTTCTTAGATTTTTTTTTACCATTTTGTTTTTTTCCCTGTGAAAAATAAAATTGATTTTGAAATAAAGGAGCATAAATGTTCAAGCTTTTAATTTTGTTAAATGTTCAACTGTTTGACACCTTTATGAATGTGTGCATGAATCCATTACCTGTATAATTTTAGTGAAAAAGCTTCTACTAGTTTAGAAGTTCGACTTTTACCCACGTTCTTGATTTCAAGTACAATTCTGGGGATAGTGGCCAAATAGGGTAAAAGATACTTGATTTATATTTATTTATTTTTTGTTAATCCTCACCTGAGGATATTTTTTGCATTAATTTTTTAGAGAGACTGAAAGGGAGGGAGGGAGGCATTGGTGGGAGGGGAGCAGGAGGGAGAGGGAGAGAGTGGAAGAGACAGACAGAGAGAGACAGAGAGAGAGATATGAGAGACACAGCAAATTGGTTGCCTCTTGCACTTGCCCCTAGGGGCCCAGGATTGAACCTGTAATCCAGGTACAATCCCTTGACTGGGAATTGAACTGAGACCGTTTGGTACTCAGGCCAATGATCTAACACTGAGCCACACTGGCCAGGGCTTGATTTATTTTTTAAAAATATATTTCCCTTTCCCCCAATTTTGTCATCTGGAAAGCTCTCATTGGTCTTTACAATTTAATAATATTTATGGATATAATATTTTGGTCTCAAGTCTTTATTATATTGAGTTACTCCAATTTGAGAGAGATACAAAATTGTGTTTTATTTTTCTTAATGAACCAAGAAATTTTCCTTTTTAAAAACACTGTCTTTTATTTTGGCTTTGGGACAGCTTCTGAATAGAATATAGTGTAATTATCAGTATAGTGCTTTTCAAAATTTGTCTTTTTTATTATTTAATTACCTTTTTAAAGTACCTTCAAATTGCACATAGCGTGAGCTTAAAATATTAAGTATTTTTCTATATCCTAGAGGGATATGTGATCTATCTCATTCTCCTTTTAATAAAAATGTTAATAATAACTAAGGAGCAATTAAAAATTTTATTCCATTTTACTTACCTGGTTAAAGTCTTAGATCAATGTAAATGAGTACAGTCAGCTCCTTTTCCCTTATTTTTTAATGATAGAGGAGGGGAGATAGTGTCATAAGATATACAAATCTTAGTAATTGAAAATTTTTTCTACCTAGCATACATTGTGGTTTTATTCCTTAGGAGGTGTTGCCAAATTCAGATGAATTTATAGTGTTTTTCCTTAGTGTACAAAAACTGATGATATGAGAAAGTCACCAGAAACAGAAAGATGACAGGGGAACTAAGTTTCAGAAGTATGTATCTTCTGTAAAGTTCATAACCAGAGGAAATGATCTCTGACAAAAAAACATGTTTTTATCTAATGTTTTGTTATTATTTCTAGAGGTTATGATCCTAAGATACAGCAGGTCAAAATAAATTTGTTTTTTGAAGACTAAGAAGCATGAAAAGCTTACATAGTTGTATGGCTGTTTTTCCTTTGTGGTAGGCTACTTATTTTTATGTAGTTTTTCATCAAGTTATATAATACTCGAGGCCCAGTGCACTAAATTTGTGCATGGGCAGGGTCCCCCTAGGCCTGGCTGGCAATCAGGGCCATCGGGGCCTTTTGGTGCTGGTCGGGGCCTTCCTTCCCCGGCTGCTGGCTGACGGCCTGGGCCTTCCTTCATTCTGTGCCACCCCCAGGTGGTCAGCGCACGACATAGCGAGCCATCGAACTCCTGGTCTCCCGGTCAAACTCCCGAGGGGACACTTTGTATATTAGCCTTTTATATATATAGATGATTACTATGAAACATACGAATTTTTATTAATATAGTTTACACTACCTCATATGATTTTTTAAAAAACTCTTCAATCAGTAGCAGAGATTGTTTCCATTGCATGTCATCCCATTTGGCAGGGCTGCACCATTTTGTTTGTTTGTAGGTATTTCCTTTAACATTTCTAACCATGTGTCCCAAAGCAAAGAAACCCAGAAGTTCTTCCTTTTCTAGCCTGCCTCTTGATGATTTGCATTTAGAGGCAACCCACTTGGTTTTATCTAGATGCTAATTTAACAAATCTCTATTAATGGTAAAGGTGATACCTTTTTAAAGTAGCAAGAAAACCTAACAATCTGTCTAGCTTAAAATTAGAAAATCATTTCCTCAGCTTTGGAGAATTAATTTTTAAAAATAGAAATTCTAAATATGTCTAAATACAATTTCTAATGCCTTTTTTTTTAGTATCAATGAAAAGGTAGAATCTCTATCTGCTAATAGATTAATAACTAATGTTTACAATAGAAATCATCTCACATGAAACTAATTTTAAAATAATGACTCAAATGTTTTACCTTTCATGCTTGATGAGAATTTTTGCTTTTATGAATGGCTTTTGGCTGTGATTTTTTTTTTTTTGTAAGTCTTTAGGTTCTTTTACTGTTTCAATAGATTAGAATTAGTAAATATGCCATAAGTAGCTTAGCTTTGTCTTCTAAAGAAGATTGCAAGTAAATTTTTTGCCTAATAATTTACAATAATGAGCAGAACAATATAAATATTTGGATGAAACATTTTTAATAATAACTTTTATTATTCTGTTTCTATGATTATATGAAAGTAGGCCAAGTGAATTGGGAGTTCTTGTTTGATAGCAATTGTAAAATGATGATTTATTTTTCTGTTTTGCTTACCATTACCAAATCACTTGCTGAATTAGCTGCAGAAAGGTTGAAACAAAGCGCCATTTATTTCAGTGTTTAAATGTATACAAATACATAGTCTTATTTACAATATAAATTTATTTCCACTTTATAATAAAAGCAATTATTTGGGGGGAAAGATTTTGGTTATTTTGAGGAACCTCAAAATCTTTTACTTTAAAAAACAATTACTATTTGATGATAGCATAAAAGGTAGCTTTTGTTAGGATTTAAATTTCTGACTTAAAATGAATCAAAATATAGTAATTTTACTTTCCTAATCTGTCTTGTTAAAATTGTTTAAAATTGTTCTTTACTTTCAATAGTTATTTTATTGGCATCAATTTATATAAAGCAAAACAAAACAATGTACTTCTCAAAACATAATTATCATTACTTCTCAAAACATAATTATCATAAACTGATTTTCTAGTGCTTTCCCAAATATTTTGTTCCTAACAACAACTGAAATAAAATGTGTTGGTGAAAACTTAATCTATTTTGTATTTATTTAGACGCTGGTTTTCAATACAGAACAATCAGTTGGTTTACCAGAAAAAGTTTAAGGTAGGTGTTTTGTTAAGTAATTAAGTGAAAAATCTAGTGACTCCCCAGTTTTGGTTATTTATCTGTTTGCTTTGGGAAAGCATTTAAGTTCATAAGTACTCATCTGTGCAAAATTACTGTTAATTCATTTTATATTTGGGCATGTATACTAACTAGTAAGAATGTTTAGAAGTGGAAAGTATCCACATTCGATTCTTAAAAGCAGTGATTTTGAATCCCGAATTCTTAATTCCTAGCTTTGAGATGGATTTTTTTTTTTTCTGTCTCAGGATTGACACTTTTTTACTTCACATGTTTCTTTGTCTATTTGTGTGACAAGAATAATACAACCACTCCACAAGTACTATTTTGAGGCTGTAGAAAAAAATGCATTTTAAGAAATAACGTCTTACGGCCACTGATGATAATATAGATATTAGAAATGACATTAAAATGTTACCTTGAAGTAAGTTAAATAAAAACCTCTAAATTTGTTAATGTTCTTTTTATATATTCATTTTCCTGAACCTTATTTTAAGGGTGAGGAGTTTTTATTTATTAGAAAGGCATACAGAAATTACATGTGGCGTGAGAATGTGACAACTCACTTCCCTCCCAAGTAATGTCCAAATATGCTATCTTTACCTGTTTGGACATCTGCTGAAGGCACTGATCCTTGTCCCCTCCCTACTGTACCTTGACTTCTCTGCCCTCCCTCTCCTGTCACCAACCTTGTTGGTGTTCACTCAGAATACTACAGTTGCAGGTGACAGTGGCCCAGGAGAAATTATGGGAAGTTTGCTGTATGTGGAAGGAGGATAATGAAATGGTTTGTAGACACCATTCAAAGCGTTGAAGATTTTGTTCCTTCAACTTGTATAGATGTTGATGCTCACAGCTTTTTCTTTTTCTTTTTGTTCTGAAGGTTCTGGTAACTTGTGGTGTATTTCTTTCTATTTCCCTGTGACCGTCTCTTTTCTTTCTTTCTTTTCTTTTCTTTTCTTTCTTTTCTTTTCTTTTCTTTTCTTTCTTTCTTTTCTTTTCTTTCTTTTCTTTTCTCTTTCTTTTCTTTCTTTCTTTTCTTCTCTTCTCTTCTCTTTTTCTTTTCTTTTCTTTTCTTTTTTTTTTTTTCCTTTTCCCTTTTCCCTTGCTCTGTCTCTTCCCACTGTGCACAGATAAACATTACCTACAAACTCCTTAATCTCATCTGTGGAGAATGTAGAGTTTAAACACATGAATAAATACTTTAAATCCCACCCCCTCCAATTTAGAAAAAAAGAACCATAGTTAATTGGTGACTTGATTTTTACCCAGTTAGCTTTTATGAATGATGTATTCAATTGTAAATTTGAAATATTCACTTTACTCTTGAGATGACACAGTATGAAATTTCTAATTAGCTCATGGTTTCTTTTATTTTGATACTTGGTTTTGAGTATTTTTTTTTAATTAAATACTAGGAAATGATAAAACCTTTCTCATTTCGTTGGTATTTTAAGAAGGATATATAGGCTTCTTTTTTTTCTTCTTTCCAATTATTTAAAACTTGACTCATTAAAGACTTCTGTTTTTGGAAGAAAGTAGTGTTTATTATATGTGAGTAGGGACCAGGAGCGTAATGGATATGAAAGAAAATTAACAGGAAGCTGACATTTATTGAGTACCTACTAACTAATTGCCAAGTGTTGGATTAAAACTGTTTTATTTAATTCTTATACAGCAATTTTATGAGGCAGGTAAAATTATTAACAGGGTATAATTACCTTTATTAGTTATATCTATGTTGATAAGTCCTATCTCGAAATTAAGAAAAATATAAATCTTTAAGACCACTTATTCCAAGCAATATTTTTAAGTATTGTTGGTAATAGTATTTAAAACCTAGATTGATAAATATGGGAGTTCTGTTTCCTTATTGTAGGATAACCCCACTGTGGTAGTGGAAGATCTAAGGCTTTGCACAGTGAAACATTGTGAAGACATAGAACGGCGATTCTGCTTTGAGGTGGTCTCTCCAACCAAGTGAGTGGTTCTAAACAGTTTGAGAGTTGCCTTTATGTTTCTATAGCTTGTTTTAAAAGAACTTTCCAGAGTAGAGAAAGATTTGTTTCACTTGTGGTGGTCTGTGCTAACTAGAAAAAAAGTGTCTTAAAAGTAAATTTCATTGTTTAGTGATTACAGGTATTAGAGTCAGAAATTTCTGTAACTTCTACCCAGTATCATATTCTTTAAATTCTATAAAGATTATTGATGTGGCCATATGAAAACTTTTTAGTTGTCATGGATGATAAAGTGAACTCATATATCAGATTGATTTTTTTATAACTATCATTTTATATTTCTACCCAATAGAAAAAAAAAGTGTTATATTTATATGGTAAATTTAAAGTTCGTGTTTTTTTTTTTTTTTTTTTTTTAATGTGAAGGAATGGGTGATTTCTTTCCAGTAGGTGACTTATTTCATTAATACCTTGATTTCTTATTGAATACAATCTGTCCTAAAGATAGATGAAATAAAAATCGTTCAACAGAAATGATTATTTTTTGTTAGAAAATTATTGTATAACAAAGTCAACAAAAAAGTAAACATTTATTACCCTTTTTTTGGTTAATTTAGTGACTGAGAAAACAATGTTATTTCCCTTTAGAAGTTGTATGCTTCAGGCAGATTCTGAAAAGCTGCGCCAGGCATGGATTAAGGCTGTTCAGACCAGTATTGCTACTGCTTATAGAGAGAAGGGTGATGAATCAGAGGTTAGTAAACAATACTGCAATACCAGATGATATATTGCCAAAAGTTTTTAACTTTAATTGCAACCTTGTATGATTCTAACATTCTTTAAGTTTTGTTAAATTGAGGTATAATTGACAAGTAACTTTATATTAGTTTCAGGCATACAACGTAATGATTCAATATTTGTATATACTACAAAATGATCACCACAGTAAGTCTAGTTAACATCTGTCACCATACATAGTAACAAACATTTTTTTCTTACGAGGAGATTTTAACATTTACTCTCTTAGAATTTTTCAAATATGCTACATAGTGTTATTAACCATAGTCACTGTATATAATATCTTCATGACTTATTTACTTTAAAACTTGGAGTTTGTATCTTTTGACTCCCTTCACCCATAACATTCTTTTTTTTATGGAGGATGATTTTTTTCATAATTGAAACATTATTTTTAAAATCTAGACTCAGTTTCTCTTTTGTTTACTTCTCTTGGCTTTACCTGTCATTTTATTTTAATATTTAAATATGTTTAATTCTGTATTTGAATATTGTCCCAGATTGACAGAAGATGGTCTGATGCAAATATTCCCTCCAAATATTATTTTAATTAATAATAAAATAATGAATGTGAAAGGTATTTAAAATTAAAACTGGGTAAAATCTAAAACAGGAAGACTCAAATTGTCTCTTAGTTGAAATCTTCCTGGAGAAGATAAGCTTAATATGGACTTTTGGGTCATAGCCTGGCTTCAGCTTCTCAGTGAGTTTATATATTCTTGAGCAAGGCCATCAGTGCCACTTGAGAAACGGAACTCACCACTTTGGTAGGATCCTGAAAATGAGTCTTTTGTGAGTCTATGCATGTCTGAAAGTGTCTTTATTCAGTCATCATACTTGTTTGAGAGCTTGTTTGGGTGTGGAATTTTTAGGTTGGAAATAATTATTCTTTTTTTTTTAAATATATTTTATTGATTTTTCACAGAGAGGAAGGGAGAGAGATAGAGAGCTAGAAACATCGATGAGAGAGAAACATCGATCAGCTGCCTCCTGCACATCTCCCACTGGGGATATGCCCGCAACCAAGGCACACGCCCCCGACCGGAATCAAACCCAGGACCCTTCAGTCCGCAGGCCAACGCTCTATCCACTGAGCCAAACTGGTTTCGGCGGAAATAATTATTCTTAAGAATTTTAACTGCATTGTTTTTTTTTTTTTGGTTCCAGTGTTGCCATTGGAGTCTTTCTTATTACAGTACTATCTTTTGTAGCCTTCTTCTCCAATTCTCCTGTTTGTTTTTCCTGGAATTTCTGGACTAATCTTATGATTTTCTAATTTTTGTGTGTCTTTTTGCTCTAATTTCTGAGATATTTTCTCTATTGACTATTTCCGTTCTTGTAGCATGTATTTAATTTAACCATAGTCACAACACTATCAGTATATCGTCATGACATATTTATTTTATGACTTGGAGTTTGTATCTTTTGACTCCCGTCACCCATAACTAGAGTTTCTTTCTGTTTGCTGACTGCTTATACATGTAAACCTGTTCTTTTTTCATGGCTGCATTGTTTGAGCTGTGGTTCTTAGCCTCGACTGCACATTATGATAACACGGGGAGCTTTAAAAAAATAAGTCTCAGCATCGAACAGACTGTCTAACTACAGCGGGAAGGCCGGGGAGGGTTGGGGACGGGGGGGGGGGGGGGGGGGGTTGTAAGAGATCAACCGAAGGACGTGTATGCATGCATATAAGCATAACCAATGGACACAAGACACTGGTGGGTAGGGGAGGCCGGGGGAAGGTCAAGGGGGAAAAGAAAAAGGAGACTTATGTAATACTCTTTGTAATACTTTAAGCAATAAAACAAAAATTTTTAAAAAGTCTCAGAATTAGAGTCTACCACTGAACAGTTGAATTGAGTTGGGACCCACGTATCAATATTTTAAAAGATTCCTAGGTGATTTCTGTGTACATGCATTGTTGAGAACCATTATGTATGTTCTAGAGCAGCCGTGGGCAAACTACGGCCCGCGGGCTGGATCCGGCCCGTTTGAAATGAATAAAACTAAAAAAAAAAAAAGACCGTACCCTTTTATGTAATGATGTTTACTTTGAATTTATATTAGTTCACACAAACACTCCATCTATGCTTTTGTTCCGGCCCTCCGGTCCAGTTTAAGAACCCATTGTGGCCCTCGAGTCAAAAAGTTTGCCCACCCCTGTTCTAGAGCAAGCATGTCAAACTCGCTGCCCATGGACCACATGCCTCGTTTATCTGGCCTGTGATAGCCTTTGAGTTTGACATGCTTCTAGAGGCTTGGTTCCTTGGCTGTCTGGTAAACCTGCTCATGATTATACGGTAGCTAAAAACCTCTTTGGAAGCTCTGAGAACAGTTAGGACTTTGTTGACTGTGAGCTTTGCTGAAGTCTGGACCATTTATTTTTTGAGGAACAACCAGAGTTAGGAACTTTGGGGGTCTTTTCACCTGGTATGATTCCCCAGAGAACATTCACCAACCTCCAGCATAGGGGTAAGGGACTGACTGGGAGCTCATTACTGGGGGTCTCAACATTCAGTGTGTATTCGTTCATTTAGTCCTCTGCCTTCCATTTCGGGTAAGTCCCTTCCAGATACTCTGATTTACTTCACCAGAGAATGTACTTTCAGTCACTTGTGTTTGTGAATAGGGAGCAGAACCCTAATGGCATGAAATTGGGGAGGGACCTTGGATGCTAACTGCTTCTTACACAATCATTTCTCCAACTTTTATGCCCACTTCCAGGGTTAACATAATATAAATCAGTGATTTTTAGTCTGTGTGCAACAAGAATTTTTAAATCATGCAATACCTTACTATTTCGTCAGGGACACTGACCTCTTTTCCCTTAGATTGTTAAATTAAAAAACAACAACAACAAAAAACAGTAACAACCAACACAATAACCTGACTCAAAATTATACCTATTTTTTTTTCAGATCTGCAAAAAAAATGTAATCTTTGGTGTCCTACAGAATTTTAATAATTAGTTTATCTGTGCCATGATATGAAAAAGGTTGAAAAAACACCAGTTTAAATCCTTGAGCCCTTTGAATATTATGTGATGTAAATTGGTGAACTCTTGAGATCCTCCACAGAGAATTCCCCATGAAGCTCCAAACCCGTCTTCCCAGGAAGAAAACACAGATCGTATCCTGAACCCCAAAATGTGGTGGATAAAGCCACGTGGCGCCCAGTGGTGGGGGAGAGGGCAGAGGCAGGAGGAGGGAGAAAACTACCCCCAGCCTGCCTTTGTTTACTACCATCCTTAGATTTGGCCTTGGTCTGTTCAGTTACTTTATTTACCCATTTTCCAGCTCCTAAAGTTTTGTTGCTCTTATTTATGTTATTCCTGTTCTTATGGGTAAACATTGTTTTTAATGAAAAAAAAGTTTTTAAAAAGTAGATTACACATAGTATGCCATTCCACACCGAATAGTAATTTCTTAATATCATCTATCACCCAGTCTATATTCAGATGTTCCCAGTTGTCTTAAAAATGTTACTGACAACCTTTTGTACAAAGTAGGATCTTACCTATGCTGCCATTGCATCTGGTTATGTCCCTCAGATCTTTCAATCTAGAACAATCCCTTTTTTGCATGGCAATGATTTACTAAAGAGACCAGGTTAATTGTTTCCATGCCTTAAGATTACATAATGGGTGGTGCGTATGCTTCATGTTGCAACAGGAGATACAATATTTGGTTATGCAACCATTGCTAATCCTGAGATCAGGCTTCTGTGTGAAGACGAAATGGATATACTGTATTTGAGAAGTGACAATGTGATTCCTCCATTTCCTCCCTTGTTTCCATTCTGTTTTGTTATTTTGTATAACACATCTACTTCCTGTTACTTTCACCCTCATAAAAGCTCCCCCATCAACTATTTATCAAATGGTTTTACAGCTGAGTTTGCTATTTCATTCGAAATTGAAAAATGATTTTCTAATTCTGTCATCCCATCTACATTTATTAACTTGTATTCTTATGTGAAATACAGCTTTCCTCGTCATCTGGAGCTTTTAGTTTCTGTAATAAATGTTTAATTCTAATTTTTTGCTTTTAATTGCCACATTTGGTTAATTTATTAACTACCTTAAGTGGGAACAGATATTTAGTTTTTGGGGTATAATTTAGCAACTCACGAATTTTTGCAAATAAGTTGGGTTCTAGTTAATCACAATAATTACTCTTTTTTTGTTTATCCTTACTGGAAGATATTCTTCTATTGATTTTCAGAGAGGTTGGAAGGGATGTGTGTGTGTGTGGGGGTGGGGGGCGAGAGAGAGAGAAACGTTGATGTCAGAGAAACACTTTGATTGGTTGCCTCCCACACCTACCCTGAACTGGCTTGAGCCTGCAACCGTGGTATGTGCCCTTGACCAGGAATCGAACCTGTGACCCTTCGGTCCTCAGGCTGACGCTCTAACTGAGCCAAACTGGCTAGGGTAATAATTATTCTTTTTGATTATCAAAATGATCACATCTTTGTCCAATAAGGGACCTGGGTAATGCCTTTTTAAAAATTCTCTAGTTTTTAGCAGTTTTGAGAGAAAATAAAGTTAGGTATGCATCCAGATCATTTTGAAGAAGCTGGTGGCATTGCTGAAATAACTGGGTTATGCAAAATAATACACTAGAATAATAGGGATTATGGGACAAATAGGAATAAGGCTGACCTAAAAACCTGTGTAAGTTTGTAACTAGAATCCTTTCAGGAGTAGAATCGTAGTAGAAATACTAGCACAGTTAAATTCATAATAAATGAATACTAGAGTATAGATAGAACCTAACTTTAAAAGTTGGTGATGCTAGCCCTGGCCAGCGTGGATCAATTGGTTGGGTGTTGTCCTATGCACCGAAAGGTTGCCAGTTTGATGGCCCGGGTTTCGGGCTCAATTCCTGGTAGGGAGGCAAGGAGAAGGCAGTTGATTGATGTTTCGCTCTCACATAAATATGTCTCTATCTCCCACTCTCCCTTCCTCTTTCTGTAAAAACTATTTTAAAAAAATAAAATAAAAATTGGTAAAGATAGCTTAATGGGAGGGTACAGAAGAATTGAGGTTACTCATTTATGGTGACAGAGGCAAAATACATAATGCAGTAAACACTTTCAAATCAGAGTATGTGGCCAAAATGAGCCAAGAACAAGAATGGGGGATGGGTGTCATGGGAGTCCTGTGTTTCTTGAAATGACTAGTCCAAGTTCTGATGTGTTAGTGTACTTTGCTTTCAACTTCTCTAATTTGGCGCAAAAGCATTAGCTTATAGAGGGAAATTGCTAATAAACCAAATGATTTCTGCATTATATTGAGATTCTTTCCCCATATGATAATTGCTTATGAGTCCACATTATCAAACATGTTCTAGTAAAAGATTGTATCTCTTCTTTTAAAATGTTGAAATAATCTCAAACTTACAGAGAAGTTCCAAGTGTAGTACTTTCCCCCTTAATGGTTTCAGAGTAAGTTGCTAACATGATGCTCCATTACTCACTATTTCTTTAGTATTTCCCACAGCCTAGGATATCCTCCTATATAATCATGGGATAGCCATCAAAATCAAGAAATGAGCATTGGTAAATTACTACCATTTGATTCCCACATAGCTTTAAGTTTTAACAGTTGTCCCAGTAATGTTCTTTATGGCAAAACAATCCAATACAGAAGCACAGGTATTATTTAGTTGTCATGATTCTTTGGTTTCTGTTAGTCAGGAAAAGTTCCTGAATCTTTCTTTGACCTTCTTGACCTTGACAGTTTTGAAGACTATAGGCTAGTTAATTTTGTAGAATGTCCCTTAGTATGGGTATGTCTGATGTTTACTCACAAGGCTATGCATCTTTGGCAGGAATCTATACTAATAATAGAGGAATATGCAAATTGGCCGGGATGCCATCACATAACAACTGATCGATGGGGCTGAGGCCGTGGCGGAGAGCTTTCAGCATGCCTGCACTGGGGGTCCAAAGGGCTCGGAGAGGAAGGGAGAGCAGATAGGCAGTTAGGGGAATCAGGCCAGGAGGGGAGAGCAGTTAGGCAGTTAGGGGAATCAGGCCAGGAAAGGGAGCGCAGATAGGCAGTTGGGATCAGGCCAGGAGGGGAGAGCAGATAGGCAGTTAGGGCGATCAGGCCAGGAGGGGAGAGCAGTTAGGCAGTTAGGGCGATCAGGCCAGGAGGGGAGAGCAGTTAGGGGGATCAGGCTGGCAGGGGAGAACAGTTAGGGCGATCAGGCCAGGAGGGGAGAGCAGTTAGAGCCATCAGGCTGGCAGAGGAGCAGTTAGGGGCATCAGGCAGGCAGGCAGGTGAGCAGTTAGGAGCCAGTGGTTCCAGATTGTGAGAGGGATCCCAGATTGGAGAGGGTGTGCACGCCGGGCTGAGGACTCCCCCCGTCCTCCCCTGCCCCCGCACGAATTTCGTGCACCGAGCCTCTAGTCTATAATAATAAAAGTGTAATATGCTAATTAGACCGGACAGCCGAACGTCCTTCTGGATGACCTTCCGGACAAAGCCAGGGCTGCAAGGGCTGAGGCAGGCTGCTGCAGCTGCGAGGGCCGAGCCCCTTGCACTAAATTCATGCATCGGGCCTCTAGTCCTATATAATAAAAGCCTAATATGCAAATCGACTGGACAGCAGAATGACCAGCGGAATGACCGTTTGCTGTGACACGCACTGACCACCAAGGAGCAGATGCTCAATGCAGGAGCTGCCCCCAGCCCTCAGGCCACAGGCCAGCCAAGGCAGGTTCCAGCGGGGACCCCCGGATCGCCCTGCTGGTTGCCCCTCAGAGGAAGGTGACCAGTAGTTGTGGCAGGGGGTGGGGCTGCCGAGCGGATGGCGCCAGGCTGGCCAAGGCGGTGCAAGCGGGGGAGAGGGGCCCCTGGTCGCCCCACAGATCGGCCCTGATCACCAGCCAGGCCTAGGAACACTACTGGTGCACCGAGCCTCTAGTATTATATAATTGATGCTGTGTTCTTCTCACTGTGTCCTCTCAGGTGGCATTTGATTTTGATTTGTCTCATTATTGGTGATATTAACTGGGGTAATTTGATTAAGGTGGTGTCTGTTAGACTTCTGTACTGCGAAGTTTTCTTAATAGTATTTTGTGGTATTTGGAGATTATGTAAATAATCTGTTCCTTATCAAGCTTTGAATTTTTTTAAAAAATATATTCTTATTGATTTCAGAGAGGAAGGGAGAGGAAGAGAGAAACATCAGTGATGAGAGAGAATCATTGATCGGCTGCTTCTTGCATGCCCCACACTGGGGATCGAGCCTGCAACCCAGGCATATGTCCCTGACTGGGAATGGAACTGTGACCTCTCAGTTCATAGGTCTAAGCTCAACCACTGAGCCAAGCCGGCTGGGCTGAATTATTTTTATTATGTCAGCATAGGCTACGATTTTATTCAATGTGTTAAAATCCGTTACCATCATTAATTGTTTTGTTGCACAAATTAACTCAAGTTTGGCCAATAGAGCCCTGGCTTCTGTATCCTTTTGACATGGTCCCATCAATCTTTGAGTTCTTCCAAACTTCCTAGCATGATGAGATGTTTCAGGTTCATCTTGTCCTTTCTCTGCACCAGCTCTGAAATTAAGTTTCCTTAAAGAGACCTAGTTCCTTTTGGTGGAGAATGGTTTTTAGAAACCAAGATAAATAAATAAACAAGTAAATCTATATTTCTTTATATATCTATTTATATTGAAAACCAATATTGTGCCTGTTGGTATCTCCAGTTCCAATCTAATACAATGAGATTTGTTCTAATTCTTTCCCTTTCTTATGAATAACTTCTTTCTCAGTAGTGAGAAATTTAGCTCCCATTAATTTCAACATTTTTGTTTACATGATCAATTTCCTCTATATGTAAGCAGTGTCCTTTCTCTGCTGCCACCTGCCCCCTCACCCCACTCTGGCTGTGACACATTACAGTGTGGCACTCCTCCTTCACACTTCTCCCCTTCCTCTAGCTCTGTCTTCCCTTGCTGGGCTCCCTCCTTATGCAGATACCCTCCTTATCCTGTTTGGGATCCAACATTTAAAGATATCCTCCCCACCCAGCTCAGTTCTCTATGGATAATACTCCAACTATTTTTTTTGCTTGGCCCCAACTAATGGCTATTGAATAGAGTTTTCACAAGGGCAAAACAAGGGCCAAATTATATTTCTAATGATTCTTTACTAAAATACTAGCTTGTTGAAATGTTTTTAAACTCAAATACTTTTTAGGCCGTATGTTTAATTGCTTAGGACCCTCAAACTACATGTTTCTATTATTGGTATAGACTTTGCTATAAACTTAAGAAATTAGCCTTTTGCTCATCTATCACCTTTTGCTTTTTTTAGTAGCCCATGACATTTTTAGATACTGTGTATTCTATTGTTGATTCACTGTAATTATAATTATGTAGCTGATCTGTTCTTTAGTAAAAGGCCATGCTCTGTTATTCACTGAAGTAGTTTAAACAACTTGCTTGCAGTTCATTGAATACCTTGGAAAAACCTTGTATAAAATAATATTTATTTTTTTCTTGAGTCTTAAGAGTTTCATGTTTAGTTCCTCTGTTTTCTCATTTTACACATTTAGTGTTCTCCTTTCTCTTTGACCTCAAATTTTGTACATATGTTCATTGTATCAGTTTATACATGTATATATTTGTATAAATATTACATGTAAATACATATTCTTGTATATTATATTTTCATTGTACCAGTTTATATATATTTACATAAATATTATATATACATATATAAATATATATACATATGTTTTCAATGTTTATACAGGATATCCCCCAAAAATGTATACACACTTTAACAGCTGATAGCTCAATTTTGAAAATGAAATGTATTTTAATAAACACTGCCTTTATAATTATTCAAAGTGTGTATATATTTTTCCCCACAAGACCAAAAGCCAGTTGATAGAGGAACCTATATCTTTCCATTTTAAAAAAATTTATTTTAGAGAGGGAGGAAGGGACACTGACTGGATTGAGCTGGCAACCTGGTATGTGCTCTGACAGGGAATTGAACCTGCCACCTTCTGATGTATCACATTGTTTGCGGGTAGTTTTTATCACGTGCTAACAGGTGGCGCGGGCCATTTTTGCAGTTGAATAGATTGATTACCGTTATACCTGGAAGTACATACATAATTCACCATTGTATGTGTTAGAGACCCAAATTTTGTCCTTTGGAATTCGTATATCTGCATGTTAGCATCCCTTTAAGAGCAATAAAAAAGTATAAAAATAAACGTATTTATACGTTACCCACATTCTACCGCTAGTCTATAAAAAACGTATTAATACGTGTCCCGCGCTCTACTACCAGTCAACGTAAAACGTATAAATACGCTCCTGCGTACAATGTGGTATAAGATGATGCTCCAACCAACTGAGCCACACTGGCCAGAGCTATCGTTCCATTCTTAAATCTCTAATGCTTCTACCAGTGCCTGGTTTAGGTCCATAATAGGCTTCAATTTATTGACCAGAAACTTTTGTTTGGAGCCTATAGTATGCAACATGGTATTACAATCTTTTTTAAAACGAAGACAAAAACAAATAATTTTTAATTTTTTAGAAGCTGGATAAGAAATCATCTCCATCCACAGGAAGCCTGGATTCTGGAAATGAGTCAAAAGATAAATTATTGAAAGGGGAAAGCGCACTGCAGCGAGTCCAGTGTATCCCTGGCAATGCCAGCTGCTGTGACTGTGGCCTGGCAGACCCACGGTGGGCCAGCATCAACCTGGGCATCACCCTGTGTATCGAGTGTTCTGGAATTCACCGGTGAGTAGGCCTGCCCGGGGTGAGAGACTTCTTTTGGATAAACATACATGTAATTATCATGTCCCATTAGTTAGAGGGCCTTTTCCACTTGCCTAATTTGACTGCTAGTTTATATCTTTTTACCTTTGTAAAGTGGATACAATTCTGGCTTGTGAAGAGCTTTTGAGGACTTTGGTTTACCATTCATTGTATTAAATCAGAAGGTGTATTCCTATTTATATGTGTGTTGAGGGCTTTATTAGAGACTGTCACATTGTAAGAGAAAAGTAACTTGCATAAAAAGCAAATCAAGGTTGATAGTTTTGTATATTAACAAAGTCTTTTCCCACTTAGGAGTCTTGGAGTTCATTTTTCAAAAGTACGTTCTTTAACTTTAGACACGTGGGAGCCTGAACTTTTAAAGGTAAAAAAATATTTGCTTTAAAATGTTTCATATTTCCACATAAAAGGAATTTAGAATCTTGGTTTACAAATGTATGAGTTTCTCAATGCTAACAGTGAACTGTGTTGTTTTGGAACATTTCTGTGGCTATTTTGACAAATCTGGTATTTTCATAATGGGTTTTGAAAATTGCTAAGTTTATGTAGCACTCTTAACTCCAAGTCAGTTCACTTTTTAAGGAGACCAGCATTCCTACATTTTTATGCTTTCTCAAAAAATATCATAGGCTCTGTGCCTTAATTTTAATATTTTATAATGAATGTAAATTCTCGATAAAAATATGAGACATATTGCTATAGTAAGCTCCATTATGAATTGGCATATAATGTTTCCATTGGGTTTAGTATAGGACTATTTGCAAATTTACATTTGTCAGGGTAGTAGCCATCAAACCAAGGCATCCTTTTTCCATGTGTGAGGATTCATATCTATGAAAATGTCATAAATAATTTTAGATCACATCTGGGTTTCTGATATGACTTACAAAACTCATAAGTTAATACTATACTCCTTTTAATTCCACCCATTTAAAGGTTGTAGTATACTTTTCATTTATTTTGTCTGAAAATTGTCTTCTTAATCTGCTTGTGCTTTTATTTCAATCTGTAAATAAATTGGTAATCCTCTCAACTATGTAAAGTAAAATAAGGGTGTCCCAAAATTCACGCAAGAAGTAATTTTGATAGAAAACACAGGTTTATAATTAAAAATTGTAAACTTTTTATTGATTCATAAAGTATACAGCATAGGGTTATGTATGGAATAGCAAATCAGGTAAACGGCCTCCACGGCTTTGCTGGCACATACGCACTCTTTTGTTGAAATTTTCCATGATTGTTTTGCATAAATGTGGCTAAATTTCGACGAGGCTCATTTTCATCTTGATGGCTTGGTTAATCGACAAAATTGTCGCATTTGGGGTTCAGAAAATCCACGAGTGATTGTTGAGAAACAAATGCATCCACAACGTGTCACTGTTCGGTGCAGATTTTGGGCTGGAGGCATCATCGGACCATTCTTCTTCGAAAATGCGGCTGCTCAGGCAATAACAAAAGAGTGCGTATGTGCCAGCAAAGCCGTGGAGGCCATTTACCCAATGTGCTATTCCATACATAACCCTATACTGTATACTTTATGAATCAATAAAAAATTTACAATTTTTAATTATAAACCTGTGTTTTCTATCAAAATTACTTCTTGCGTGAATTTTGGGACACCCTTTATTTGTGGAATTATGGTATAAACCTCTAAATGAAAGTGATAAATTGACTCCTAAGGTAGAACCCTGTTTACATAGATTTTATTAATTGTTATTAATTCAGAGGTGAAGAAAGTGGGGGAAGAGGGGAAGAAATCTAATTTCTGCATCAACTTTCTGTGTAGATATGATCTCAATGGATTCAATTTAGAAAATTTGTTTGAAACACAACTGTGATGCATTAAAAAAACGAGACAAGCTTTTAAACAAAATATTTTGAAATATTTATATATGAAGTATAAGAAGAAAATAGTTTACTTCAGTTCTGAGTTATTTAAAAGTTTTCCTGTCTGGCCTAAGACTTCTTTTTTCATTTAATTGACCAGACATTGTGAATAATATACAGGATTGTGCTAGCCATGGTGGAATAGAAAACTAGTAGAAGATGGGAGAGGAGAAACCCTTTCTTGTAGGAGTGGTAATTCTCTAGAAGTATTTTGCTGAAGAATGGCAAATGGTGATATTGCTCTCAGCTCTTGTTTCATTTTGTTTTAGCAGTAAACTTCTTTGTGGGATGAGCAGTTGCAGAATATGCAAAAGGAATTTACTGGCTGTATTTGCTTTAATGACTTTTATAATATTTTAGGAATTTCTAGCTTATTTTTTTTGTTTTTCTGCCAAACAGCTTATGTGTGAGTTGGGCAATGATGTTATAAATCGAGTTTATGAGGCTAAAGTAGAAAAAATGGGAATAAAGAAACCACAACCAGGACAAAGGTACTATTTCAGTTGTCTTAATGTGTTATCTTTTTTTTCCCTAATCAGAAATATAGCTATGATTTTATTTCACCATAATTGATATGTAATACTGTAACAGACTGTTTAGAAGAGATCATTACTGCTTTTGTTAACCCGTAGCTAATTTTTTTTACTGATCAATCAATTATAGTCTCCAGATAAGAATCTTAAAAATTAAAGTTCTACATAGGAATGTAAAAACTCTTGGCAGTTAAAGTAGACCAAAGTTCCATTTAAAAAGAGATAATCTGTTCATTAATGTATCTAAGGATTAAGTTTCTACTATGTACAATGAATAATTTTACATAGTGAGACTTAAGCAAACATTTGTTAATCACGTGCTTTATACATAGCGTTATGGTGTAGAATTAAAGGTGGCAAGGTAATGGAAAGTACTTAATTGCTGTGTTTGAAATTATACTTCCATTTCTGTATATGGAGGCTCATTAAATAAAGTGGCTAAGAGTGCCTTCAAGATACATAACTTGTTTATTTTTATTGATTTTTAGAGAGGAAGGGAGAGGGAGAGAGAGATAGAAACATCAATAATGAAAGAGTACCATTGATTGGCTACCTCCTGCACACCCCCTACTGGGGATTGAGTCTGCAACCCAGGCATGTGCCCTTGACCAGAATCGAACCCAGGACCCTTTATTCCGCAGGCTGATGCTGTATCCACTGAGCCAAACTGGCTAGAGCCTTGTTTTGTTTTTTGATGTTGTTTTTAGTCTATGATTACTTTTAGCATTAAAATTTTATTTGTCATAACCCTATGTTGGGGTTTTGCATTTGACTAAATTCTTATGTATAACCAATACTGTTTTTTTTTTTATTAAATATATTTTATTGATTTTTTACAGAGAGGAAGGGAGAGGGATAGAGAGTTAGAAACACAGATAAGAGAGACACATCGATCAGCTGCCTCCTGCACACTCCCTACTGGGGATGTGCCCGCAACCAAGGTACATGCCCTTGACTGGAATCGAACCTAGGACCTTTCAGTCTGCAGGCCGACGCTCTATCCACTGAGCCAAACCAGTTAGGGCAATACTGTTTTAATGTTATTGCTCTCTAAACCAATATCACTTAAATCCAATTATCTATTTACTAAAGCATGGCTTTCTGAGTTACTTTAGACCTTGAAATATTCTATTTTAGCCAAAGACCTAAGCATTTGAAAAATATACAGGAAAAGGTATAGAACAGGCTTGGCATTTATAATCCTACTAGAGGCCCGATGCACAATTTTCGTGTAAGAGTAAGCCTTCCTTTCCCCCCGGCTGCAGGCCGTGGAACCCGGGACCCAGACTAGCTTCCCTCTGGCTGCCCACAGGCACTCAGGATCTGGGCTGGCTTCCCTCTGGCCACCCACAGGCACCCAGGACCCGGGCTTCCCTCCAATCTAATTAGCATATTATGCTTTTATTGATGAGAAATCAAAAATTTAAAATGTGGTATCTTTTTCCCCGTAACTTAGAAATGTGTTTTAAAGTAGTTGTCTTATGAAAAAGTATGACTATCAATAGTGATAGTTCAGTATGTGACATTATTGGCGTAAAAACGAAATTAAAGCACAAAGGACTATGTATAGAAATGAATGAGTACAGAAATTAAGAGAAAAAGAATGCCATGTTAATATTTGATTTTTAAGTTAGTTTGTTATTTGTATTTGATTTGAACATGAAATCATAGCTCATTAAATATTTGGAAGAAAAATTTGGCATAATGTCACAAATTCTGTTTTAACTAGTATTACATTTACTGACTTTCTTTGAATTAGTCAATGTATAATGGCTGCTTTTCAGTGTTAGTCATGCTCAGAGACCAAGCAGAACATCATGACATTTTTATGTTTACCAGACAGGAGAAAGAGGCATATATCAAAGCAAAATATGTGGAGAGGAAATTTGTGGATAAATGTTCTATATCATCATCACCTCCTGAGCAGGAAAAAAAGATGATCTCCAAAAGTTGTGAAGAAAAGAGGCTAAGCATTCCTAAATTTGGGCCAGGTGACCAAGTTAGAGCATCTCCCCAAAGTTCAGGTATTACAACTTACTTGCATATATAAATATTTTTATACACTGATGTCACTTTCTTAATCTCTGAATTAATAGCCATTGTAAATTTTTAAGTGCTAAAAACCTGTTTTCTTCTATATATTCTAAGGAAAAAATTGGATTTCTATGTCTTTAAAACTATTAAATTTAAATAGGTCTTGGTAATTCGATTTCTAGGTAATGTGTATATTCTAAGGAATAAAACTGCTTAAAGTGCAAGGGGAGATGGGAATTATAAATCTGTCATGGCAGAAAGCCCTAAATATCTGATTAACCACCTAACATCCTTCCTATTTTTCCCTCCTAAATTTTTCCCAATAACGTTTTTTTCCTGCCCTTTTCCCTTCTTATGGCCTGCTTTGTGCTTTGCTAACTTGCATGTCCCCAGTGGTTGCTGTAAATAGCGACGAGGCCAGGCGGGAGTCTCTGTTCTGTCCTGATGAGCTAGATTCACTCTTCTCCTACTTTGATACTTCTTCAAAACTACGTAGTAGTAAGTACTACTCTTGTGGAGCATTCCAAGTCTGTGCCAGTGGTCATTGTGCGGTGTGGCCATTTCTCTAGATGTTACCCATTGTCTCAGAATTACACATTACTTACAGTCATACAATAAATTCTTTTTACTACCCCTTACATATTATGGGGTAATGAGATGTGTTACAACTCTGAAAATAAGTTTATTTTCAGTTTTTGTGCTTGATTCATATTTTGATAAGCTAAGTGCTCAAAAGGATTAAAATTGTATTAAATGTATTCTACTGGTGACGGCTGAATTCCCATTGATATATCAGAGTTCATTTTAAAACTTCGTTGTTTGTGGGAGGTTGTTTTCTTAAAGGCATTTTTTTTAACCACTAGCTGATTTTTCTTTAAACAGTCAAAAGTAATGACAGTGGAATCCAGCAGAGCTCTGATGATGGAAGAGAATCTTTACCCTCTACAGTGTCAGCCAATAGTTTATATGAGCCTGGTGAGTTTTGGTGAAATTCAGTGTTAATTGGTATTATTTGCTGAAAAATATGTGTGTTAAATGCCCAGTCTTAATTAAATAGTTTCTAAAGGAAGTGGTTAGTTTTTTGGAAGAAGGAGTAATACAATTAAATGAAAAGCAGCTATTTCTTTTTATATTTGAAAGTTATCTCCTAGCTGTACATTCTTCTAAACTTCATGATATATGCTATAAGTGCCTTGTCTTAGAAGTGCCTTTTCTTAAAATTTTTTTATTAATTTGAGGGAGGAAGGGAGAAAAAGAGAGAGAGAGAGACATTTTTTTGGTTGTTGTTCCACTTATTCATGCATTCATTGGTTGACTCTTATATGTGCCCTGACCGGGATCAAACTCACAATCTTGGCATATTGGGACAACACTCTAACCAACTGAGCTACCATTCAGGGCTAGCTAAGGATAACCTTTAATTCACATGGACTGTATATCTTATTACTCTTTTCTTTCTTTGTGGCGTTTTTTTCTTATCAGGAGGAAGATACCAGCAACTCCCTCCCTTTAGATTTTTTTGTGCTTTACTGACCTGTACTTTACTCCTATATTCCCTCCTTCATATTTAGTGATTTGGGTATTGCAGAATACTCAGGGTAGTAAATGTTCTTCACATTATGTGAATTGCTTATACTGCAAATTGTGATGGTATTGGATTATCCTAGGAGTAAAGTAAGGTGTTATCTGGTAGTAAAATTCTTTAGGGATTCTTACCGCCTCTTTTGCGTGTTAAAGTCCAGGCTTATAGGAATATACCTAATTTTAATCTAATACAGAGTAATTAACCTACCTATTGGATGCTGGCAAGAACACAAAAGGCTGACATACTAATTGATATGTTTATAAGAGAGGTTGACTGGGGAATGATTAGTCTATTGGAAATAAAATATCTTTGTGAAATCAGCTCATTTTGTTAAATTAGTCATTTCTTATGCCACAACTTTCACATTGTGATACAGTTAAGAGTTCATTTAAACAATTGTGGCAAATTAGACATAATGTAAAATTTATCTTAAACATATTAAAGTGTACAGTTCAGTGGCATTAAGTCTTTTTTTAAAAACTAATGGCCCAGTGCATGAATTCATGCACATTGAAAGAAAATTAATTAGAAGAAATATTTTAATATTGCTATTTGCCCTTTCTCTATAATAGAAGTGTCAACCAAATTCATGATTGACAATGACAGATTGAAACACATGCCTGTGATTGGCGCCAGCGAGAGCTTTATATGTATTGCACATGCACGAGTCAACTTAGCCTTTTATAGATAGAGAATAAACTTGCTTAATTAGACCTGCTTTCTATTTTAGCTAAACTTTTTCCAGCCCAGTGAAGCATCCCAACTTCTCTTTCAGGTAATTGTCAGCAGCACAGCAGTAAATATCAATATGAAGCAGATTATTATTGTAGATCATGCAGGGAGAACAAAGGGTAAAATATTTAACTGCAGCAATGTTTGACTATATTCTGCGCAGTGAGAAAACCTGAAGTCATTTTCAAGTTCCACCATTTCTTACTTCTTTTCAGTAGGGTCAAGTTTCTAAGCTTTCTAAATCTCCGTTTTCTGGCTAATGAAAAGAAAATAGGATTCCACCGAGTCTCCTATCTACCTACTCCAGGACTTCTGTGAGATCAAATGAGATGAGGCATGGGAAAACGCTTCACAGACATTTGGTTAAAGTGTAAAATATTTGCACCTGGCTATAAAGCAAGTTGCGTTCCTAGGCTGAAGAAACTCCAAGGAGGCTAGTCACTAGGGAGAGGAAGCCGGGCATTGCTACGTGATGTCATTACCCAGCATCCACAGCCACCATATCCAAGCTGGGGTGGGCTGTGGGCCACATTTTGCGCCATGGGGTTGCAGCAGCGTCGGCTGCAATTTCGTGCGCTGTTGCTCCGGGGTGGTGGCGAGGCCTGTGTCCCACGTGCAGGAAGCCGAGTGTTGCTTTGTGGGCACGAGGTTCATTGTGCCATTTCTCTGTAAATGGCCAGTGCGTGTCACGGCAGTTCCTGTATTGAGTGTCTGCTCCCTGGTGGTCAGTACGCGTCATAGCTACCAGTCGGACAGACAATTATCATATTAGCCTTTTATATATAGAGAGATATTTTTATTGATTTCAGAGGGGAAAGGAGAGGGAGATAGAAATATCAATGATGAGAGTCATTGATCAGCATTAAGTCTTAACCCTTTGCAGTCCAATGTTATTTTTGGAATTCAAACAGTCTGGTCCAAATTAATTGATGGGATTGAATGTTGAACTTTTTAATGTTCTTACTGCTCAATGTTGGACTTGCTCCTAGCACCTGGTCTGTCGAGCCAGCCTTGAAGTTGGACCGAAAAGGGTTAATTCACATTGATGTGAATCACTGTCACTACTATTCATCCACAGAACTCACCTTACAAAATTAAAACGCTGTGCCTATGAAATAATAACTTCCCATTCTTTCCTACCTCAAGATCTAGTTTTTAATGATGTGTTTGTGTTTGCTTTTCAGAGGGAGAAAGGCAAGATTCTTCTGTGTTTCTTGACTCTCAACATCTTAATCCAGGACTCCAGCTTTATAGGGCTTCATATGAAAAAAATCTTCCTAAAATGGCTGAGGCTTTGGCTCATGGTGCAGATGTGAACTGGGCTAATTCAGAGGAAAACAAAGCAACACCACTTATTCAGGCTGTATTAGGGGTATGCATTTGTACCTTGAGGTTTTCAGTAGTAGTTAAACATGTAAAAGCACAATTCATTTGAAACATGGCCTTAGAATTATTTTTTGTTTTAAGAGGTGGGTTGGAAAATCGAAGAAGCTAGTAGTGATTCTGGGCATCACTTTGATTGTGTGAACTTGATTTGTTTTTTCCTTAATGGAAGAGAATTCTGGTCATGAAAGTGTGTTTTGCTAGATTGCAAACTGCAAATTAAATCATTATTAGAAGTAGTTCTTGGGAAGAAATAATGTGATTTATCATTTTTCTGCTTTTGTTGGGGGGTATTTTCTCTTTAGAGGAGAATGAAATAGAAAGACTATTAGAATAAAGTAAACACTGTTTTTAATGGAAAAATTTTGTTTTTTGTACATTGTTTTCTTCTTTCCTCTAAGGGCTCTTTGGTGACGTGCGAGTTTCTCCTACAGAATGGTGCTAATGTAAACCAAAGAGATGTACAAGGGCGGGGACCACTGCACCATGCCACTGTCTTGGGGCACACCGGGTAAGCTGTAGTGCTTACATATTTAAGTGGGTTTTACTTGAAAAATTACTTTGAAATAATGTTTTGCTTTAAGAGATGGGTTGGAAAATAGAAGGAGCTAGTAGTGATTTCTGAGAATCACTTTATGTAAACTCAGGTTTTTTTTCTTTAAAAAATTTTAAAATTGATTTTTGAGAGAGAGAGGGAAAGAGAGTGAGAAAGATATTGAGATTTATTTATTGTTCCACTTATTTATACATTCATTGGTTGATTGTTGTATGTGCCCTGACTAGGGATCGAACCTGCAACCTTGGATTATCGGGACAATGCTCTAACAAACTGAGCTACTGGGCCAGGGCTATCAAATTTTTTTTTTCTTAATGGAAGAGAATTCTGGTAATGAAAGTAATGTGTTTTGCTAGATCACAAACTTTTTCTCATATTAAGGCCATTAGGTAGAGTTTGTAAAATTACACTTTCCTGTAACTTAAATTGTCATGATGGAATTTGAAATTTAAAAAATCTCAATAAAAAAAAATCTGTTACTTTTCAGATAAGAAAATTCCAAAACTTACTTTGAAATTCATTTGTCATTTATATCGATTAATTTCAGTATGTAAAAATAGTAAAATGATGGTGATTTTTGTCAGACAACTTTAAGTCTGTGTGTGTATTTAAGCACGTAGACATACATTATGTACATAACAAACACATTTTGGGGGAACTTTGTAACTTTGGGCATTTTAGTTTTCCCACAGGGTATCCAAAGTCAAATTTTAAGGTAAATTTTTAGTCTGTGCTATTGATATTGCAACTTCTGGAGCAATATTTAGACTCACAAAACAGTAATGCCATGAAAACATATTTTCTATTAGAGTGCACAAATGAAGTCAGATTGTTAGCCTTATTTGAAAAGTTTGTGAATGGGTGATTGTTCTTTAATCATTTCAAAGATAACCAATTCTTTTTAAAAAATGTTTTTATTAATTTTCAAAGAGGAAGGGAAAGGGGGGGAGAGGTAGAAATATCAATGATGAGATAGAATCATCGATCCACTGCCTACTGCACACCCCCCACTGGGGATGGGTATGTATCTCGACTGGGAATCGAACCATGAGTTGGCATTAAACCATTTTGAGTCACCCTGGCCAGGCCTATCCAATTCTTATTACCTTGACAAGCAAACTGTTCTTTTTTCTGTTTATTTATAGTATCTTGTATTATTTGTTTATGTTCCCTCTGTCAGTAAAGAGATTCAGTTCAATAACTTCATCATAAAAACTTTTCTATACTTAGAAACGGTAGCATTTAACTCTTTGTATTTCATTCTTTGTATTTTCTTCTTAAACAATCATACTTCTTCCCATTTTACGTCATAGACTCCATTTATTCATTTCATATTTTTTTCATTTTTATCAATTTCTTCAAGTTATAATATTTGTGAAGTATAGTGGGAGGATTACTTCCCACTCTGCTATTGTATTATATTATGACCAGAGGCCCGATGCACAAAATTTGTGCAAGAGTAGGACTTCCTTTCCCCGGCTGCCGGCACCGGCTTCCCTCTGGCACCCGGGACCCAGGTTTCCCTCGAAGCCCCAGCTTTATCCAGAAGGTTGTCCAGAAGGACGTCTGGTCTAATCAGCATATTACGCTTTTATTTTTATAGAAGATTGCTGGGGTCCAACCCCAGCGGGTCCAGGGGTCCCCAAAGGTGTGGACGGAGTCGGCGAAAAAGGAAGGACATGGAGACAGTGTTCAGTTGATCAGCAGCCTAGCCAGGATCTCTAGCCAGGATCTCCAGCCAAGTTCTGGTCTGGATCTCCAGCGAAGTTCTGCTTAGGATCTCCAGCCAGGTTCTGTGGCCATGTTCCCTCGCTAGGTTCTCCAGCCAGGTTCTGTCCAGGTTCTCCAGCCAGGTTCAGTCACCAGGTTCTATTCAGGTTCTCTTGCCAATTTCTGTAGTCAGGTTCAATCCAGGATCTTTTGCCATGTTCTCTCCAGCGAAGTTCTTCTGTCTCTAGAGAACGTTCTGTGTAGGTTCTGTGCCTCGGTTCTGTCTCTCTTGGTTCCGTATTCTAAGTTCTGTGTCTTGCTGTCTTATTACATCTGTATTTATACCAGTTGATTCAATCCTATCAATCTCTATTACAAAGGTTAGGGCGTTTCTTATCTCCATTCCAGGGAGTAAAGATTATGTAGCTTAAGCATGATTGTTCGTAAAGTGATTAATTACCCACCTGGCACTAGTTAAGAGGTTTTATTCCCTCCCTAACTTCAGGGGAAAATCCCTACCTGGGGAAACAACCTTTCTCAGAGACCTTGGTTAAAACACATAGTGCCAAGAGGGTGAGCAAACATATTAAGAACAGTATGCCATATATGCCAGGTCCCTTGAAACAGCAAGCATGGACCGGCTCCCGGCAAATTCCCCCTTTTTTATTTTTTAAAAGCCGGCATTAAAAAGAAAAACCCGAAATGCTCTCTTGTATCCATTTTAAGAGTAGGATTGGCGCTTTCCGCTATTACCTGAGTCCTGATCTATCACCCCAGGGAGAGCTTGCCAATCCTGCACTTTCCCGGGGTGGAAAGGCTGCAGTGGGGTTAAGGATAAGGCTCCTTGGGCCTACCTCCTCCCATGCCTTTACATTTACCTTTCCTTCCTCAGAAAAGCATGGACATACTTCTTGTATAAAACATTCTGTCTGACTGGGAGTAACCTTAATTCCTCTGCTAGCAAGCATATGTGTTAAAAGATCAATACAGAGTCTTATTTCTTTAGACTCAGTATGGCACATTTTCTTAATCTAAAGATCAATACAGAGTCTTCTTTCTTTGGACTCAGTATGGCACATCTTCTCAATCTAAGTTCTGTACTATCCACCTTCTTACCCTACTTATCCTCTATAGGGGGGTCTTCAGTACCCTGGTAGAGTCCTATCCGTCCAGAGTGTGGGGTTCTCAATGGGGGGGCTTACCTAGGGGAATCCTGTTCCAGGGGTTCCCAAAGGTGTGGACGGAGTCAGTGAAGACTATCCACCCTCTTCCTATGGTGGAGTCCTATCCGTCCCGAGTGCGGGGCGCTTACCTAGGGGTCCCTGTTCGGGCGCCATATGCTGGGGTCCAACCCCAGCGGGTCCAGGGGTCCCCAAAGGTGTGGACGGAGTCGGCGAAAAAGGAAGGACATGGAGACAGTGTTCAGTTGATCAGCAGCCTAGCCAGGATCTCTAGCCAGGATCTCCAGCCAAGTTCTGGTCTGGATCTCCAGCGAAGTTCTGCTTAGGATCTCCAGCCAGGTTCTGTGGCCATGTTCCCTCGCTAGGTTCTCCAGCCAGGTTCTGTCCAGGTTCTCCAGCCAGGTTCAGTCACCAGGTTCTATTCAGGTTCTCTTGCCAATTTCTGTAGTCAGGTTCAATCCAGGATCTTTTGCCATGTTCTCTCCAGCGAAGTTCTTCTGTCTCTAGAGAACGTTCTGTGTAGGTTCTGTGCCTCGGTTCTGTCTCTCTTGGTTCCGTATTCTAAGTTCTGTGTCTTGCTGTCTTATTACATCTGTATTTATACCAGTTGATTCAATCCTATCAATCTCTATTACAAAGGTTAGGGCGTTTCTTATCTCCATTCCAGGGAGTAAAGATTATGTAGCTTAAGCATGATTGTTCGTAAAGTGATTAATTACCCACCTGGCACTAGTTAAGAGGTTTTATTCCCTCCCTAACTTCAGGGGAAAATCCCTACCTGGGGAAACAACCTTTCTCAGAGACCTTGGTTAAAACACATAGTGCCAAGAGGGTGAGCAAACATATTAAGAACAGTATGCCATATATGCCAGGTCCCTTGAAACAGCAAGCATGGACCGGCTCCCGGCAGAAGATGTTAACATTACCTTGGCTTCCTTCTTTCCCAAATTGATTGAGTTTTGTTTTAACTTTGTATGTATCTGTGTACATCTTTTTATGATATTCTTTGAGGGTAGGGACCATAATTTACAATCCTACTGTACTATATAGTACCAGGTTAAATAGACTTGTAAAATGCTGATTATGGTAAATTTTTATTCTTAGAATCAGTGTTCAAAAAGAGTGTTGGAAGTCATTTGTAGAATGAATAAGAATTTACTAATCAAAATATTATTTCTTTAAGTTAGGTAGTGCTTTTTATTTTTTAAGGTAAATACTAATTTCTTTCTTATTGACTTTATCTCAAAAATGCTATTTGCTTAAAAAGGCAGGTATGTTTATTCCTAAAACGAGGTGCCAATCAACATGCCACTGATGAAGAAGGGAAAGACCCGTTAACTATAGCTGTGGAAGCAGCCAATGCTGATATAGTGACCTTGTAAGTTTGTTTTTACTTCATTATTTCCCATACACTATAGGACTTGGGTGGGGTTTCCTTTGTAGGTATGAACTTTAAACTTGGCCAGTTATTTACTATATACCATATACTTCTCTAAGTACAATAAATGTATTAAGCACTTTACTAAGTGATCTTGGTTTTCACAACCCTGTGAGGAAGATGTTATTATTATTAACCTCATTTTATAAGGAAATCAAGCCACAGATAATTTGAAAAACTAGTAAGTGGTAGTGCTGAAATTTGAAACCAAGAATTCTGGTCTTAAAACCCATGTTCTTAGCCACCTCTGTTATCCTTCATGACCAATAGAAACAGAAAACCCGTGATTTCTCTAAAATGGATTCTTTAACTCTTAGTATATATTGGGATGGGGATTGGATTGGTACAGTAACAGGCAATTATTCTGCTACCTTGAGAATCAGGATTTTATAGGGGGGACATCTACATTGGTGTTAGTAACTTTTGCAGTTGCGTTGCTTTTGGGCAGTGATACTTAAGGATTTGTTTGTACTTATTTTTAAAAGAATACTCTATTTTAAGATAAAAGTGCTTGTTTTTGAATGTTTGAATACAATTTAATATGATCTGTTAAGGAATGATTTTTGAGATCTTAATTTGATTTTCATATTAGATAAAAGTTAATTGTTACACTTGGAATCTAGAAATGCGTTTTCACTTACATGTCATTATTATGTAGGAAATCTCAAGCATATGTTGTATGAAGTCACTTTTTCATTCTATTCTGGGCTGAATGAAGCCCAGAATGGTTGATCCTCTGTTATATAAGTAGAGACAGTTCCATTCACATGACTAAATCTCAGTCACTTACAAAGAGAAAATCCCACGACTGCCTTGAACTCCTGAGCTCCCACTGAGAATTCTTGGCTTGTCATATGTCACTGCTGAATAAAAAAAATTTAAAAAAGCATGTTTTCTCTGTACTCAACTTCCTTTCCACTCTGGAGGAGTTATGTTACTGTGGAGGTTATTGTAGGGAAATTTAAATCATTGTAGATTTACAATTAGAGAAAGGTAAGTTATTAAAGAAAAGACAGAAATGGTATAGAGAAACAAATCTTGGTTTTGCAGGGTTCCCAGGCAATTCTTATAGTAAAGGCCCCTCTTCCCAAACATAGCTGTTTCCAAGTTAACTAAATTTTCTCATATTGCTTTGAGTAAGGACTTTAGTTTCACTTAAAAATTTTTGAAAATAGATGTCCTCTTCGAAAAGTCCAAATACTAAAAGGAAAATTATGTTGCTATTATTAATTGACACAGTGGTTGAAAATGGAAATGGAAGGATTCATGGTACTCTGAAGATAGGAAAAGCCCATTTTAGATGCTGCAGTAGTTGCCAGAGAGAGCATGTTAGAAGAGAGTGTTAGAAGTCTGGGAAGGCAATGAGTATTTGGTGGCTTGAAGAACAGAAGAGTAATATAAAGTAGGAGAAGGGTACCAAAGGCAACCTTTGCATGTTGTTGTTTTTTTTAATATATTTTATTGATTTTTTACAGAGAGGAAGGGAGAGGGATAGAGAGTTAGAAACATCGATGAGAGAGAAACATCGATCAGCTGCCTCCTGCACACCTCCTACTGGGGATGTACCTGCAACCAAGGTACATGCCCTTGACCAGAATCGAACCTGGGACCTTTCAGTTTGCAGGCCGATGCTCTATCCACTGAGCCAAACTGGTTAGGGCCATTTGCATGTTTTAAAATGTTGTTTCACGTTAGTAAGAAATTGGGAAGAAATTCTTGTCTTCTTAATCCAATGCTACATGTCTTCCTGCTGCCAGGATGAATAATCCCCAAAAAGAATGCATAGCCAACATGGTAACCTTGGGAAAATCTTGGTCACCTGTGGTCATTATTATAATGTTTGTATATCAAAATATATTTCCAGTATTTAGAAATAACAGACACTGTTTATATGACTGGAACTACTCACCTCAGAGTGAACCAGAGTGAATTTATGATAGGCTATTGCTTCCATACTATAGCATTAATTTCAGCAGTTGGCAGTTAAAGTTTGATAGGTTGCTATAGAAGCCAGGAATTCTCTGGAGTCTGGAGGAAGCAAGTTGCTGAAGGTGCTGCAAGAATCCTGCTTTAACAGAGCTGAAATGCGCCTTCATTGTCTTCTCTCATGAGAATTGTATAAAGTGAAATACAATTATTTTTGTATCTGGATTGCTGGCTGGGTCTGATAGAATAAAAGCCCATTTATTTCAGTGGCAAATATTGATAGAGAAAAAAATTACATTAGTACACGTTTTATCTGCTTATACAATTCATTACTTTATGAATATTTATCTTGTATAACTTCATCTAAAAATGCTTTTATTTAATTTTAGGTTACGTTTAGCAAGAATGAATGAAGAGATGCGGGAGTCAGAAGGACTTTATGGACAGCCAGGTCAATATTCTACTAATAACCATACCGAAATGCAGTATAAGAAATGCATTCAAGAATTTATAAGTTTACAATTGGAGGACTGATAGTTCTTTAGCAAACTAGCTTAATATTATAGAGTTTTATAACTTGTAAGTTGTGAGTTGTTAAATATGTACTGTACCTATTGAATTCTTGGGGGTGGTCAACTCCTGGGCCTTTAAATATCCATAACTATTCCTATTAGAGTACACATTTACTTGCTGTATTGAACTCTGGCTGCTGACTTCTTTCTCTGCTGTACAGATGTCTTCCATATACATTCCAGTGAAGTAAATGGAATGATAATGTATCTTTATACACTTACAGCAGCACAATAGTCATTTTCTTTTTGAAATTCTGTCAACTGAATATAACAAAATGGCTTTCTTTTTGTTAATTCAGGGAATTTCTATAAATTGTGTTCAGGGAAAAAAACAAATCACCATATGCTTGGCAAATAATAAGTCAGAATGGAAAATACCTAGAAAATGAATTTAGGAGTTTTATACTTTGATATAAACATGGGTTGAAGGTTTAAAATAAAATTTACCAATAGGTTAAGAAGTACATAATGGGAGTGGAGTTAGTTTAAAAGGTATAATGGAAAGGTCTCATTTTATCTTATAATGTACAGTATCTGTTAGATAAATGGAAGTTTTTTGAACAATATTTTGAGAACCTGATGGCAAAGTAGACTTATTCATAATTAGAGAAATCTAATTCAGTATCAGCTCAAGTCTCATTTTGAGTCATTTTCACCCTTGAATCAAGATGTTAAGAAAAGGAAGAAATGTTGTGATCAGATTCCTCTCTTTGATGAAATATCAAATAATTAGATCTGCAATTTTATGAAGTTGAGTATATGAATTATTAATATATCTTTTAAATTCATATACATATTAGTAAGAAACTTGGAATTAATGACTAAAATAATTGAAATTGTTCGGTATACTTAATTTTTTAATGAATATTAATATGTTATTTAAAAAGCTTGATAATATCTATTCTTGTTTAAATATATTGAAATTTCTGTACTTTGTTCTAGCTTCAGCCATTTACTTTTATTTTAATCAGATTAATATATAATTAATAGATATATGGGGCCATTCTTTTCTCAGAGGACTGTATTTACTATTTATTTTTGGTTTAATTTAACAGGGAACAAGTAAGAACTTTGAGAATAGAGAACATCTAGATACTTCTAATCTAGGGTGTCCCACTTTAATCCTATGGATCAAACAATACTACTGATTCATGATATACCAAGATGTCAGAAAGCTGATTAAGGGTGAAGTCTCAGTGTTAATTCTGAATTTCACCCATTTGTTTTAAACTTGAATGTGAGTTTTTAAATGTTATTATTTTGTAACATATACTTAAGTGATGGTATTACTAGGCCATTTCTTTGAGGCCTTTGTGTTTAAGCACTTTAAAATAAAAAATATTATTCAAAGGCTATGACCAATATTTGTGAGATAAGAGTGATCTTCAAGATTTTAAGTTAAACTTTTTTTTTTTCCTGAAATTTTAAACTTAAACGTTTGGTCAGCTGCTCTTTCCTTAAGGTGTTTGCTGATGAAGTTACACCCAACTGGTTAGTCAGAAGGTCAGTGGTTGACTTTTCTCTGGAGTTGGGAAGCTGGAAAGGACAGGGCCTCTATGCTCTTGCAACTTCTAGTTTCACCTGAATTGCTTGGGCTTCCGCCACCATTTAGGAGCATTCATATGTCTCTTTCACTGCTGTTTTATGTATAAGTTTATGAGTATATACCTTCCATTCATCCAAAGAAAAATAGATTTTTGCTATTTATTTGAATGAAAATTTGAAAAAAAAAACTCTTTTTAAAAAAACAAATTTTTATACCACTCTCAAATTTCAGTTTAGAGATTAAAAATAGATCAGAATTCTGGAAATGCAGAATAAAATGAAATTTTGATCTATTTGAGGATCATCTTGCTAATTAGATTTTTCTAATTAGATTTATTTAGAGAGTCTGATATTTAAAGCAGAACAGTTTTATACTTATACAGGTGACATGGTGAAATGGCACAGCAATTGCTCTCTGACTACTTTTCTTCTCCCTATGAGTCTTTGGAGAGCAAATATGTTTGCTTAGGTAACAGGTCTTTTTTTCTCCTTCGCCTATCACTGTAAATTTTTCTCATATATTTTGATTGGTTATTTTATCTAGATACTTTTTTTTGTTTTTTTTTTTGCTGCCTACCATAAGAAAGAAAATCTCACAATTCTGGATAATATTAAAATGCAGTTAGTTTCAGTCTTTTGATAATGAAGAGCCCTACCATTTAAAAGAGTCAGATATTACCTTTGGGAATCATGGACTTATTTCTAAGAGACTCCACTTCTGAATTTTCTATCCACAACCCTGACCTCAGACTCCTGATTTTTTACAAGGTTTAAGAGCACATGTTTCCTGAAGGGAAGATTTATCTAACCCTGTTTATCAGTTACTGCAGCTCTTAGGAGAATTGGGGTGGGGGTGGGTGAGTGAGATATCATGCCCTGCTCTGAATTGTTGGAAACCAGTGTGGTGGTTTCCACAGTCCAATTTCTGGTCCTAGGATTCCTCTTGATGGTTGGCAGTTTCTTAGTCGGTTGAAAATCACTGCTTTAGTTAACCACTACTGGTTATGTGAGTATGTTACTGACAAAGGCTTATGTCTGATCTAATCAGTTATAAAAGAAGGCTGTAATTAACCCAGAAGGGGCAAGACTAGTTGGGTGTGGAGTTTCACATGCTGCCATCTCTTTGCTCAAGAGCAAAATCAACAAAATCTTGGATCATTATAACTGCTATTGCAGTGGCTATTCTGAATACCAAAAATCAAAAAACCATTTTAAACTACCAGTGGAAACAGCAGTCCACATTTTAAAAAGTCAGAACTGTCCAGGCACATAGACAGTTAACTTTCTGAAGAGAAATACTAGTACAATGCGATTAAGTAATTTAAAGGATATAACTTAGCATTAAAAATATTGGTTGACTAGTTGTTTACCATTAATAATAAACTGTTAAATGTACTTCTGTAAACTTTCCAGGGCATCATATTCTGGCTTATTGTTTATATATTCTAGTGTAGACAAGTTATAGTTGCCTTGGGAGAAATTCTAAATGATTAAAATTATATTTAAATTTTAAAGGATCACATTGAAGTCGATTTGTGTTAACTATATTAAATAACTTAGTCATTATCATTATTGTAACGTTTGTTCTCTGACCATACATTTTGAAGCCTAAGAAAGGTATATTGATAGTCCATTATTTAGTGTTTTATTAGAAACTGAATGTTAATAAAAGTTTTGTGTGTGTGTGAAGGTAAGACTTCCTTCCATATTGTAGTAACTCTTTTAAAATGTATTCAGTAAGTGAAACAAATGATTAGTGTGTAGCACCAACAATTTTTCCCTCAAAGAAGCATTTAATTGAGTGAATAAAAGAGGTTATAATTTGTTTTGCATGGTACAATGGTTCTACTAAAATGTACTTGTGTAATAGGTACTAGATAATTTTAAAACGAAAACTGGAAAACCACAAAAAGAAAAAATTCCACAGCTTGCTGTACAAAATATGCATTGCTAATAGTAGAAGCCATATATCGCCATTGTACTGTTATAATACTAAGAATGCTCATCTGGTGCTATCTGTAAACTATTTGGCATTGGTGTCTCTGCTAGATCCTTCTTCCTATTTCTTCTTGAATGTATAATGTGTGCCTTTTAAGTTACTTCTGGTGTTGAATGGTAAAATCAGTGTGGTATTTTTATATTATAATCTGCACTTTACACTTTTTTGGAAAGTAAAATTCCAGACTCTCCAGTTTAAATAGTATTTTAAAAATATTTATAATGTTTACAATAAATATTTTAAATATTTTAATTCAACATCTAAGAATAAGAAAAAATTTTAAATATTTTGTATGGTTTCTTAATTGATATTTAATGTTGGTCTCTTCTCGTATTATTTTATATCTTTTAGAATGGCTAAAAATGGGAATAGATTGTAGTTTGTCTTTTAATGTGGGAGTAACTTTTAAGAAATCATGGGTATAATTGGATTGTCTTACCCATTGATCCAGCATTTCAACCTTTGTTTTTATTGTTTTAATGACAATAAGTTAAGACTGTTACTCTTAGCCAACCCTATTAAGATTCTCTCCTTACTTTTTTCTTTTTAAAGTAGATTGATTGATTCAGGTCATGAGAAATTTCCAGGGTTAAATGAAAACTATATAGAGATTTTAATAACTTGCTTTTTACATAGATTAAATATTAAAAGTGGAAAAAATATTGAAAGTATTAAAAACTTTTTATTGAAAATTTTGGGTTATGCTATTAGACCTTTTTACTAGATAGATCTTCGTCCCCTACCCAGACTTTTTCTAATTCTCTAGCTTTTGGTATGACATCTATTGCCTCAAAAAATCTCTTCAAAAGCTAACAAAACTTACTGCACTATTAACAACAACTGTAGCAAAATAGTTTGTAATAAGATGGATGCAAGCTATATTCTAGGAAATAATTATAAAACTATGTTGCAACAACAGTCATGTAAAATTGTGTTTGACAATCTAAATCTTGAAAACATAACTATGCCAAGCTTCTGTATAAAGCTGATGTTTAATAGGAAGCATTCCTAATGGATTACTCATCTTGAAAATAAGATTTTATTTTATACAAATCCTTTATTTGAGGAGTAATCTGTGTGTGTGTATATGTTTAATTTCTCATGGCAAGAAATATAGTATTCAATCAGCTATAGTATCAGTATATATAATCTTCTTCCCTACAAGCATATTTGTATGTATATACATATGTCTATTATTCTAATTCAACATGTTTTTGGTATTCCCATTGTTGTCATAGTATTCTTTCTCATATGACCTACAGTAAATAAAAAACTTCTGACTACATGTGAAAATTATGATTTTATAGTCATTTTCTAGGCTTTATCATTGTATAAGCTTAGTAAGCAGGGGATTAGGTGTGTTAGTTTTAGTTAAGCATTAAAGTTAAAGAATTTCTTTTTCACATGCTATTTAAATTAAAATGCCTTTTAAAAGGTAATACTAAAGTAGGCTTCCCCCCTCACCTGATTATCAGCTTTGTTTAGTTAATAACTTGCATCCATCAGAAATAGTGTTTGTTTTTGGTCTTTCCTTTTGGTCTTGATCAAGGGAAATACTTATTTAAAGAATGCCTTGTTTACTATACCTCACTTATACTGACTTTTATTTCTCATGTATGAATAAATGTATTTCTGCACATGGCTTTAAGATACTTGCATCTTTGCTCTTTTCTAACTCTGAACTTTCCTCTATGGCTGCATTTGAGGTGCTTTTTTCAGGTATAGTTTTCTTTCTTCTTTCACTATATACTTTTCCAGCATTTATATTTAGTTCATCTTTTTTCTTTTAAAAATGCTCAGCTAAACAAAATTGTAATAGAATGAATTATAAAGTAGTTACTAAATATAAGAATGAATATTGTTTATTAATATTTTTATTGTATGCATTTTAAAAGTGTCCTTATTTTACTTTCATGCAGGTGATGAAACTTATCAGGACATTTTTCGTGATTTTTCTCAGATGGCATCCAATAATCCAGAAAAACTAAATCGTTTCCAGCAAGATTCACAGAAATTCTGATTTTTTTTTTTTTTTTAAAGAAGGGGAGAATACTAAATCTGGTGACTTCCTAATGTATAGATTTGAAAACTCACACATTTTTACTACTTTAATTCTACTTGATTTTAGTTGATATTGAGTAGTTTGGAAAAAAGGTACCCATTCATTGGTAAAACATAGGGCTTTAGTAGTTGGAAGAGGAGCCTATTTTAGGACCCACAAAAAGGAAGAGAGGCTGTTTAAAGGGCTATTTTTATAGATAAAAATTGAATCTAGACTTAGGCCATCTTTAGGTTACTATGTTCTAAGAGTTTAGACAAAAATCTCTTTTTTTGCTAGTGGATGGTAGCATTGATTTTTCTTCTGTGCGTCGTACCCAGTGTCACATATTTGCATCAAGTGGGAGCCGACTGGTCCTGCCTGCCTCAAGAATATGTCTTTTCTTTAGTTTCCCAGATAACATTAGTGGTTCAGAAGTGGTTTTATTTTGCTTTGATAGCCTAGCTGTTATACACACATATGTAATTTAATTATTAGCTGGAGAGTATGTTTCCCCCATTGGCTCATAAATGCAGTTATATTCCTTAGATATCTGGTTATTATCCAGTACTTTAACATACATACAGTGTTTGTACAGGTAGATATAACTCAGTCTTTCAGTTTTATTCCATTTTATGCAGCAAAATGAAGCCCTTAACAAGTTTTTTTTAATCACCAAAGATTCTCAGTTATAGAAATGGTAGTTCTTCATTGTTGGGTTGATTTCTTAAAACCTGGACAAATTATTGATGTAATAAAACTGTTTCAAAGGTTACTTGAATGTTGCAAAATTATGCTTTCATCATATTGTAACTTTCAAAGGAAAAGCTGATTTATAGAGTAATGTAGAGCATTTTTATATTTGAAGTTTGCCCTTTTCAAGATACATTTTTGCTATTGGTCTTTGTGAAAGAAAAATCTCTTTGTAAAAGGAGAAAAAAACAATGTTTTTCTTAGCTTTAATTAAAATATAGCATTAAATTGCTTTTTAATTTTTCAACATCTATTCTGTGTACTTGTTGTATACAGTGTATGTTCTTTTAAATTATAACATCTGTATAGCTTTAGTATTTGGTTTTATGAATCATAGGCCCTTGAATTCCAAAATATGGATATACTAATTTATCATTATATGCTACAAATTAGGCTAATTCCATCTTTAGTTGACATATCTTGTCAGGAGTATAAATAATTTAGTAATTTGCCTTATGGTTTCTTTTTTAAAAAATGTTTTTATTGATTTTTTTTTTTTTTTTGAGAGAGAGAGAGAGAAAGAGAGGAAGGAAGGGAGAGAGAGAAACATTGATTGGCTGCCTCCTGAGCCCAAAACCTGGAATCAAACTGGCGACCTTCTGGTGCACAGGACAATGCTCAACCAACTGAGCCACACTAGCCAGAGCATGGTTTCTTTCTAATATTGTCAACAATTAAATTTAATTTTATTGTACAAGTTACATGTGTTATCATTGATACTCAGTTTCTAAATAAGAGAGTTTTTAAAATTTGGGTTATCAAATAAGTAGGTAAATACTATTTAATAGGGTAGAGATACATTTTCTAACGTGCCTTCCTCCCAATAACTAGAGTTTTATAAATTAATTGACTTTCAAAACGGAATCTGTCTAAACAGAAATTATACTGAAATAAATTCACATCACAGGAAAGGTTCCATGTTTGGTCAAATTGCATGCATATAATGCTTATTTAGTAATAATCACTGCATATCAGATAAGAATAAAAACTGTATTTATGAATTATTTCTAAGGAAATCCTAACTTCCCAAAGCCTTGTATTGTAATTAAACCAATAACAGTCATAGTGTGGCTCAGTTGGTTGAGCATTGTCCTGTGCACCAGAAGGTTGCCAGTTTGATTCCCAGTTGGGGCACATGCCCAGGTTTTGGGCTCAGGAGGCAGCCAATCAATGTTTCTCTCTCTCCCTTCCTTCCTGTTTTAAATCTCTCCTGTTTTACCTCAGAGTCACAGATCATCTGGCTTGGCAAAAGTTTGATATATATCACTTTTATTAGAGTGTACCTTGAGATTGATTTTTCGAAAAACTCAAGCATAAGGAAATATGTTGAAAACAACAAAAAGAAAGAGAAAAAGAGCTTCACTTTTCCTTTGCAGTGCCCATTCCTGCTAAAGCTCCTAGCCTTTATCTGAGGCAGCCTAGGCAGATTTCCTTTTGGATTCAGCCATTGGTGCTTCAGAAAACCTGTGGAATCTCTAGTTGTGAAGGCAGTTCTTCATGACGCTCTTACCTCCCGTGGCTTGAGTCATGAATTGTTAATGTGGCAGTAATTAGTGCCCACTTACATTTAATGGTTAGAGATGTATGTAAAGTATACTAAAGATGATCATGGTTTGAATATCTTCAGAGAAGGTAAAATATTTAACAGTACAGGGAATCTGGTACTACAAAATACATTCCTGTGGCTTGATTTCTTAAATATGCTGAGATATAATTTGGATTAAATTTGGCAGAAATGATACAGTAAACAGCAAGGCTCTAAAGTATAATAGTTACAAGTAGTTACAAAGGGTGGCTCTTACCAGGGTAAATTTAGCTGTCAAGTAACATCTTTTCTATAGTATGTAACAAATTTGAGTTTTATTGCGCTGTGAATTATTCAGTGCATTATGAGAAACTATAGTGGGAACAATGTTAATCATACCCTTGGGCTTCATAGGTCAGTGTGACTGCCCTTTGTTTTCTTAACTGATCTGCTGATACTAGTTTCTGATTCTTTCTCATTATTCCGTTAGTGCATTTCCTTAGCTCATTAACTTAGAAGTTAGATTACTATTAAAATAAAAATATTATTTGCACTATGAGGAGTTCATCAGGTGCAGTTTCATGTTAGAACTAGACTAAAGGTAATTGAGTAGTTATTTGCAATTCTATAAGGTTTTAAAAATTACCTTTGGTACAGTCCTTAGAAATCCAGGAATTTCCAGGGATTCACTACATTACCGTGTTTGCTTAATTTATACTGGTCTTGACTATAGACTTTAATAAACTTTGGTGTTTGTTTCTCAAAATGTATAGATTTAATTTGGAATATGTACTTAGTTCTTCATGAGTGCATTTTGAAAAAGAAAAATCCCACAAAAACATATACCTTTACATTCTGGACATCTCAAGTTTGTGATGTGTTAAGCAGTATTTTAGAAATATAATTTTATAAATGTAAAGTATGGTCACAATCAACCAAATTGTATTTAAGACTAAATTTACTACCCATTTTGAATAATGAGACATTTCTCATTATCACTCTTAGATTGTCAAATTAACTTTTCTGTTTGTTAGCACCTTTGACCATGGACATGAGTTGGAAAAATGATGTTTTTATAGAATTGTTTGTCCAGAATGAACTTCAGACCTGCATAGTGGAAAGACCACTGACTAGTAATTACTATTCTTTTTGGATTCAGAGCTCCTCACAAACCAGTGTGATGAAGCAAAATGAAACTATAACAGTATCCCTTTGTATACTGTTCTGCTGTTCGCAATGTACTTGGACATTACTTTATCTCCCCTGATTTCACAGTAGGACTTCTCTGCGCAAGCCAACACTGTCTCTTCTTTGATCTGGTTCACTCCTCTTGTTTTACAGAGGGGGTCACTGGTGTGCTGGTTGGTGGCATAGATGACACCAGAGCCCCCTTGTCTGTCGTTAATAGTCAGAGGCACTTTATTTGTATCATGAATTGATTTGAAATCATTGTAAAGCAGCAACATCTGATAATGACTGCCAGCTTTCCTTGTGTTTTGATAAAAACTCCAAATATTCTGGAGAACCTGGCTATATAATTACCTTGAAGGAATAGATTAGGATTTGACAACATTAAATTACAGGAAAGTTTACATTTTTGCAATAACAAACATTAATGAAAAGTAAAACATTGCAAAGGTAATTTTAATTTACTATATACAGGCATACCTCATTTTAATGTGCTTTGCTTTATTGCACTTCACAGATATTGTGTCTTTACAAATTGAAGGCAAGACCCTCCATCAGCAAAAAGATTATGACTTACTTTATGGCAATACTTGCTTTATTGTGGTGGTCTGGGAGTGAACCCACAGTATCTCTGAGGTATGCCTGTACTTAAAAATTTCTTGATGAAAGATAACTAAAAGGGGCTTGGATTCAATTTGGTTGAATCCTGACATCTGCAAATATAATTTTGTGGACATCTTTTTCTGTTTACATACATTTATTTACTTAAAATGAGATAATGGGGGAGAGAAGCAAGGTTTGATTAAATAAGCTTTTCTCTATATTGGTCTTTTCACTATTTTATGTTCTAGATTTTTTTTATTTTTCCTCAACACCGCTCCCCACCTTTTTGGTGTTAATTTTAAACAGGGAAAGCTCGCTACATTATAAAGAGTGCTGACATCATTTATTTTACACAAAGGCTTAAGGTTAACTTTTGGAAATGATGAGCTACTTTTCTGCATATGTTTACTTGTGCTTTGTGGTATTTTGGATCATTCCAGGCGTAAAGACTTGTTACACGTAATATTTCTTGCTATCTGTGAAAGGGTATATTTTAAAGAATGTATAACCAACACATTTACTTTTTATTAGTATGTAGAGGATTTGTATCTAATTCATGAATGTAGTTTTAGTGTAGTTTGTCATTGTAAATGAAACAAAGTACATTATCTTTATAGTTATTCTAAAATGTACATTATGTAAGAAATGTAAATATTACACTTGATTAAATACTTTGTATGCTGAAAAAATTATTATATAAGTCAATAAAAATTTCACGTCTGGCATAGTTCTTTCATGCTCACATTTTCACTTTATTATAAACTACAACTTCAGACTTATCTGTTAACAGCTGTCGTGTTTAAGGTCCTATATTCCTTTCCAACCCTGTCAGATCCATCAGATTGCTCCCATTTCCTGATTGCTTCAATAAAGAAATGCATTTTGATCTTTTAAACATTCTCTTCTGCCTGTATGTCTCCCAATTCAT